ATTCTGGACTAGGTGAAATTGGACGCTATGAGTACATAAACGTTTTGGCAACAAGAGAATGAGAGTGATAACCGTTCGTTTTCTCCTTGTTGAAAACAAAATAACCGTAGAAAACATATCCTCCTTCACGAAGTTGAGATTTCACTTTCCCTGAAGGCTGTTAGAAAGTTATAATATTCTGAGGAAGTCTGCAATTTGCTTTAAACATTTTGTCAGTTGTTTTTATTTTGTAATCAAAGTATGAAGCCCAAATGTTGGTATCAACGACCCATGTAAAAATGTGTTGGTTTCATCCGTTTTTTAGATATTAAATGCTTACATTATCTCAGCTATTTTGAAACTTTTTCTTGAAAAAGATTGCAGCAAACTACCTAGAAAATGTCAAAGTGTTATAGAGTATAGTCCTTGAACCCCCTAAGCTTTGAAGCCCAACTACCTAAAACATTGATAATAATAGTCACAATTTTATAGCGCTTAAAGGGATAGTTGAGTTCTGTTTTCAGACCGCGAATGCCTTCAAAGTGCATGGTTATTGCTCTTATTCTTATCTATGACATTTATAGTGCCCTTTTAGAACCTGAAATTGCTATGAAGGTAATAATTTTAGACCCCAAAATATGTGAAATTTAGCCAATACGATCATACCAATTCAGCTTCACTTAAAAAAAAAAAACACGGTGACCGTTAATTATTTATCTAATTAAAAATAACAATACATGAGCCGGCTAATTGTGGGTAATATAAGCAACACGAAAATGCCAACAAAACAGCCAACATCGGCATTGGCTGAAATACAACGTAAAGGGCGTTATTTCGTGTTTTTTTTTTTCAACGGTTTTTTCAAATTTTTCAAAATATCTAATATTTGTGGTGGTACATAAGTATTAGAAATCGTTATATTTCAGCCGTCTCTGAACCGACTTTGATCAAACAAAGATGATTTTGTCATTTAAATATTATGTTCTTTCAAATTTGACACTCAGTTTTTCATTATATCTCACACAAAACATATTTTGTGTAGCGCCCTCTGCAACAGAACTCAACTATCTCTTTAATACTACCTTTCTAATCGCTTTTCATTGTATAGATATAATGACTGCTATGGGAGGGATAGTTGTTTTTATATGCTAAAGGGGACAAAAATCTGAGACACTGTAAATATTTGCTGGAAAGTTGCCTGAATGTAACAATTCTTTGGGAATCGCTAAAATCATGGCTCCGATTTCGACCAATCCGATTTCTAAAGAGAGGTATATAATAATCATTATATACCTCACTTAAGAAATCCAGCCATCCGATTGGTCGAAATTGCATTCATAAACTTTAACTTTGTTATTAATAGTGATATTCACTCGTATTCTACTCGTCAGAAAAATGATTTACATTTATTTAAAGTTCGTACGACAAATGCACAAAATTCTTTCTATTTAAATGGCATTAAGGAATGAAATAATTTGAGTAATGATATCAAGGAAAATACAACTCTATCTCGATTTAAAGTACGATGTACACAGTTATTATTTAATGATTTATGTAAACAAGTATGAGCAGAGGAGGATATTTTGAATGTACGTGTGTATGTATATGTGTGAGCGTGCATGTGTATCATGTCATTTTAAAGTTTTTAAACTGTATAATAGTTTGTTTTTCTTTTTAAGGCCCCACCACAAGCAATTTGCTTCTAAGGATGTCCTTTACCGTATTATTTTTACTATGTTACTCATTTGTATGTACATGTTTCATTTTTATGGTTAAAAAAAAAAAATAATAAGCTGAAACTATTCCTGTAAAATTCCCAGTAAAATTCCAAACCCATGTAATAGTTCTAAAATAATAGTTCTAAAATCCCAGTTACCATGGTTACCGGGACAATAGTTCAGTCTTGGTGAAATACACATAGGTTCACATGTTAAAAACTGGTTTGAGCGATCGAGGATACCGTACGTGTGCGAAGAATTGGTCGGTGATTTCAAACCGAAGGCAAAAATGGCTGAAGAAACTCTCCCAAGATTTCAACTTCTTGATGATGATCAAATGCAAGACTTGCTGACAGCAGGGACATGGCAGACAGAGCACCAAGAAGGGTAGGTTAAATTCTCCATAATTTTTTTCTTCAAAAGTCTAGGCCTAGATTCTAGTAAGTAGTAGTGCTAAAATCCTTCCCCTAGCTAGAGATTGCACGGAATTCAGATTGTACACATCCATATGCATTGGCATTGTGCACTGGCCTTGCACTGCAATATTGCAAACTAATATTGCTCGTGATTCTGAAGGTGATACTCAATAAGTGAGGTGTAATATGAAAGCGCAGGTTCTTCTCCTTATTCCCCATAGAGCCGGCCCACCCCCAAAATTGTAAAAATATCTTGCTTAGACTAGAATCTAGATCTAGCTCTAGTCTACTCTCAAAGATACACTCATAAAAAACAACCTTGCAGATAAACTAGAGAAAGGCCAAGGTGGTGTCATAAGTTGACTCTTTTGTTTTCGGCATATATTAAAGCAGTATTAATGACTGCTTTAATATTCGAGAAATAATTGTTTTTATACGCTCAGCGGAAGGTTAGAATTGTGCTATTGCCCGAGGCGTGCCGAGGGCAATAGCCCAATTGTAACCTTCCACTGAGCGTATAAAAACAATTATTTCTCTCAAAGCAGTCATTAATACTATACTATTTAAAGCCACTCGTGAAATTACGGATTCCTCGGCGACAGACATAGTGCTATTCCCGCCACCTCGATCCATAATTTCAACTAGACGCTCTCAGTGCATGGTATTATGTTTATTATTATTCTTATTATAACTATTATTTTTGCTGGTGGTCTGACTAATGTTATTTTTGTAATTATTATAATGTTATTTGTTATCATTAATACATGTATTATTATTATTATTATCATTATTATTATCATCGTAATCATTATTATGAATATGAACAAGATAAATATGATAATGATGATTACTATTAGTAGCAGTATTATTATTATTATTATTATCCTTGTTATCATCATCAGCCTAATCATCAACGGCAGTAGTGTAGTAGTAGGCGTAGTAGTAGGCCTAGGAGAAGTGGTATCATTCTGATCCTTATTATCCGGATTATTTGTCTTTAAGCTTACCCTTATTGCATCTAGCTCGAGTTTTGCTTGGTTATTTGGTACTGGATGATTAACATGGACGAAATGAACTTGTTCACAATTCGATGAATATAAAAAAAGCATAATTTCAAATGATTACTTTCTGTTTTCTATGACCCCCCCCCCCCCCCTCCGGTATTATAATCTGACTGGGTGCCATAAGGTAGGTGATGGACGTGAGCGCTGGGCCGTTATAACCAAAACGCATCAAGAAATATTGGGATTTTAAGGAATATTACCATTTTCAACAATTTTCAACAAATAGTAATCATCTTATAACATCAGATGTCTTTTTAATTATGATTAAAATATGAGTCATGTCAAGCAACAAAAATATGTTAAATTGTTTTGCATTACCTCCAAATAACTAGCTTGAACTTGAAAATGTGAATTCTTGAAAGGCTTTGCAATCGTGATATAAAGAAATATAATCGTTGGATGTCGTAGTGAAGATATAACTGAGAGAAAAGGGAAGGATGTCGAATATGAGAGACGTTCTACAAAAGAAACAAGACAGAACAATTAGAACAACTGATATGTTTATATATATACATATATATATTTCAGATTATACAGAACTAATCAAGAGGGTAGCTTGGGAAATAGCGCCTGATGCAAACAACAAAAAGTGCACACTCTCGAAACCTCCGATAGTAGGCCTATACCTTATCAAATACAAGTTTGCAAATCTAAAGGGATAGTTGAGTTCTGTTTTCAGACCGCAAACGCCTTCAAAGTGCATGGTTATTGCTCTTATTCTTATCTATGACATTTATAGTGCCCTTTTAGAACCTAAACTTGCTTTGAAGGTAATTTAGACCCTAAAATATGTGAAATTGAGCCTATACGAACATATCAATTCAGCTCCACTTAAAAAAACACACATGGTGACCGTTAATTTATCATTTAATCAAAAATAACAATACATGGACCGGCTGGTTGTGTGTAATAATTATAATCAACACGAAAATGCCACCAAAAAACCCAACATCGGCATTGGCTGAAATACGACCTAAAAGGCGTTATTTCGTTTTTTTTTCAACTTTTTTAATTTTTTTTAATAAAAATATCTAATATTTGTGGGGGTACACAAGTATTAGACAGCGTTATATTTCAGCCGTCTCTGAACCGATTTTGATCAAACAAAGATGATTTTGTCATTTAAATATTATTATGACACTCAGTTTTTCATTATCTCACAAAAAAATATTTTGTGTAGCGCCCTCTGCAACAGAACTGAACTGTCCCTTTAATTGCTTTATACAGTTTTTTATTTTAAAAATACAGTACTATACATGTTACATTAGCATAAATTATTAACATAAGTTATTTTTGTGAACTTTATTCTTGTTTACGAGCAAAACTACACATGCTAGGATACAAAGCGACACATCGTCAGAATACCTTTTCTCGCATTTCAAACAGACTAATGATGGGGAATATACGAATTCCAAGGGAACAGAAGCGAGAGAGCAAGGCAATCTATCATTTTTCAGATTCAGAAGTCTCAGTGAATGTAGTTTTAATAATATCTTGAAGAAACAAAAACGGGCATTCGTTCAATCAAAGATGCGTGGCGCAAGAGGCACTTGTTTCCATGTCTCTAAATAGATATATTTCCCTTTCTCTCTCTCTCTCGCCCCCCCCCTTCTTTCTCTCTCTCTCTCTCTCTCTCTCCCTCCCTCTCTCTCTCTCTCTCTCTCTCTTACTAGTGCACATAATTGAAAGTTTTTAAAGCGTATCTGCCATAGTTTACAGGAGGGATTAGACTGCCCTGCAAGGTCACTGGACAGGTGGTTATCTCATCAACTCAGCTCTCAGTTAACATAAGAAAAAGAGGATCATGGGGGACCAATGGTCACCGATTAGGCATGGTTTGTTATATAGAGGGCGCAAGTAGCTACAAGTAGTTTAGTGGACCTTTAAAGTGCGTTTCTCCTTTGTCGTTGTGTAATATTCATTCGTTCATTTACTTTTCCTCTCATAGAAACAGCCAATTGAAACTGATTTCCAAACAGATCTATTTTAGAGTAGAGAGGCGTCCAAAAATGGCTCGAAAATAATTGATCATGGTTTGGGTGGAATCTGTATCTTGTATTTGAAGTTACACTGCGATCCGAACATCTTCTTGCAGTCGACGATGTTAAAGGATAAGTCATAACAGATCCGAACCTCCTCCAATACGTTAAAGGCCTGTCAAAATGAGATAAAACAATAATAATAAGTCAAAATAGACCCTCTCTCTCACTGCACATTCCCTTCCTTGATTCTTCCTTCATCCCTTTCCTTCGTCTATCCCCCTATTACTACTTGTATGTCTATTCCTTCCCCATCCTACCTCCCTCCCTCCTTTAATACGGCCCATCTCCCTCCATGTCACCCTCCCTACCTCCTCTCCCTCCCTCACCTCCCTCACCTCCCTGCACCCCCTCCTCCCCGCCATATCACTTCATCCACCCTTTCACCCCTCCCTCCCTACCCCTTTCTCCCTCTCACCCACGCTGCCCCTTTAATAACCCCTCATTCTGTACCTTCGCGCTCGTTCCCTCCTCCCTCATCCCCGCTTCATCTCCGTCTCTTCCAGTATAGTTGTCACCAGCGGTGCAGTATATCCCTATGTTATGACCTACTCCTTTCTGGATAGCTGACCGAACCGAAGCTGACGGGTAGAAGAGAGTCCGCGAAGGCCTGATATCAGCTCGAGCAAGCATCCTGTGGTGTGAGCAGTCATCAACAATATTTATTAAGAAAACATCAATGACAAAAATCGCAGTAATACTCATGATAACTTGAATCGTTAATTAAAGTGACTCGGTAAGATTGCCTTAGATTCTGAAACAAAATACTGGATTTAGCTCATGTTGCAATCATGATTATAAACCTTTAGGTCAGTCAGGAATCCAATGACTTTTAAAAGCCGATCGCCTGCCTGATTATCAAGATATTAATAATAGGAAATCGAAATCACATTTTGCGTTTTCCTAACAGTTTTTATAACACTACAGTCTATTGGAGAAAACGAGTATGGTAAAACCGGTCACTCAAAGATTTTTATTTTTTTGAGGCACTCAAGTCCTCATGATTATTTTGAAGCGCGATTGTGTTAGGGATTCAATATTACACCGTATCACAGACACTGATAAGACGTAGGGCCATGCATCTCAGATTTAACATTGTTAAACGATGCCTTTAAACAACGAAACCTGAACGAAAGATGATAAAGACATTAATGATAATTATGAACTATTTACTATCCCGTATCGTCATGCAAATAGATTCCATTCGGTTACAGTTCTCATCCACTCCGCCTAATCGACTTCAAACCAATTCCAAATCAACGAGTTCTCCGTCAATAGGTTTAATGTATTCTGTGTGTTAGTTGGTTTGTTCGTTTCTGTGTCGTCTTTGTTGACGGTTAGGTCTTTTTTGTTGATATTGTTATTGTTTATGGGTTCGACCATCTACATAATACTTACCCGTACACATCTATTTCCGACTTGAGTTTGAGAGCACGCGCAAAGTACTTGTACTGTGTGTTCAGGGAAGCCAGCTGGACTGCACACGTTCCATGTTTCATCCATTCATATTTCCTGAGTGATTAAATGCCATACAGGAACATTTATCCATCGTTCATTTTCTCGATGATCAAAGCTTATTTCATGATAGTTAACCAGGCAAGACGTGATGTTTTATTTATTTTAAAAACGGCATATTGGGGGTAATGCATGGCATCCAGGCTAAAATACCAAGGAATAAGATAGGGATGGATGCCACGTGCATTTATTACTAAAATATAATGTTTTGCTCCGAATTTGAAAGAATGTCAACGTTCATTTTTGACTTCATAACACTTACAAATTTAGTGAGAAGCATGTCGATTCGACTGACAAGTATGTAAATTTGAATGCACAGATAATGAATTTGAACTATTGTATATCAGGGCAGGGCTTCATAGTTTTAAATTCTCACTAGAATTGGAAAATTAATAAATGAAACCAAGGGCCCACTCGAAAATATATTTGAAGCCGTTCCTACAGAAGATCAAAATTGTATGCAAATATAAAGATTTTTTTTTTTTTACAGATGACTGTCGAAAATGCCAATAATTCATAATTACAAATTGACTCGTTGTTCTTTAATACAAAAACGGTTATTTAATTGAATCAAGACAGGGGCGGTGGGGCGACTATCAAAGTGGGGGGGGGGGGAGCAATTATCATTGGTGAAGGGGGCATTTATCAGAGGTGTTAAGGGGCACTTATACGAATGTGGAACGGGCACCTATTAAAAAGGGACACGTATCTGAGGTAAAAGGGGACAGTTTTCCTATGTAAAAAAAAATGCACTTTAGAGGTGTTTAAAAAGTACCCCTAAAGTACCTTTTCCTTTTTTAAACCATTTTTTCACCACAGTACCACAATATGAAAATATTTTGTTGACTCAATGCTGAGGATTACAGAATCATATTTATTAATACATCAATATTTGATTCCAATTAATTTTTTAAGTACTATATTCATAAAACAATTCTTAACGCTATGAGTCTAGTAGTTTGTACCTCTGAAATTTTTGCCTGAAATTATGAGTTATTGATGTGTGTCGCTATTTTTTTTTAAATCCAGAACATGCAGAATAAAGATATACAAAACATGTTCTCTAAAACACGGAACTAGAGGCCTTTTAAGGAGACCCACCGAAACGTTTTTTTTTTTAAAATACTTTGGACGGCATTTTGGGGGTAATGCGTGGCATCTATGCTAATACTCTTCCAAAAATACCAAGGAATAAGATAAGGGTGGGTGCCACGCGCATTTTTCTTTTACTAGAAATGTCATGCTTGCTGCATGCTTTCTTAAGGCTTGTCTCCATTGAGATCTGTCTGCAGCAGTCTTGTTTAAAGTGACTCGGTAACATTGTTGAATGTTAATGAAAAAATGTAGTTTTTGTATGAAATGTTAGTTTATTTTATTCCGTCTACTGTAACATGCAAAAAATCCTGAACGAAATTCTCAAACAACAAAGATATTTATGATTTTCTTTGAAGCCGTCACTGAGCCACAAACTCTAATAGTAATTTTTTGAATTTTCCCAACCGTTTTCCCATGAAAATCAGACAAAAGACAGGCTTTCAAAAATCTGTCAACATTTAAATGTCTGGAATGGTATATAAAGCCCATTCATTGCTTTACGACAATTTACATTAACCTAAAATGTAATTTAATTGTAATAATATAGTTGGGAGAATAAAGGAATCGATCAGATAAGTTTTTCCCAATTTTTATCCTTAATAATGGTTTATTTTCACTCAAATTTTCATATTATCTTTGATTGTACATTTAGCATTGACGTGACTACCTTCGAACCATTTCTCTCATCTGAACAATGGTACCAAGTCCCTTTAAAATGTCGACAAAATTTGGTCACGCATTATTACCTAGGCCCTTCCCCCACCATTTCACTCTCTGAATGAATATAGTATTCCATCAATAATTAAATGGAACATCTTTTACTTACCAAAACTTTATGTCTGTCGAAGTCCCGCTAAGATTAGTCCATTCCTTACTCATAACCTTCTGGAGTTTCTACACAGTAGATTATGAGAAGTAGAAATATTTATGACAAACTTATGTCATCATTAAAGCTTATCTGCCGTAGTTTACAGGAGGGATTAGACCGCTCTGCAAGGTCACTGGACAGGTGGTTATCTCATCAACTCAGCTCTTAGTTAACATAAGAAAAAGAGGATCATGGGGACCAATGGTTACCGATTAGGCATTGTTTGTTATATAGAGGGCGCAAGTAGCTACCAGTAGTGCAGTGGGCCTTTAAACGAAGGGGTTTAGATAACGCGGATGTTGATGCTGGCTACCTGTCACATTTTCCAATATAACTCAACAGGGGGGGGGGGGGGGGGGATGAACACTCCTTGGACACCCAAAACACCCCTCTCGCTACATCGATGGTTCACTCTACAAACACTACGTATATAACATAGACGTAGAACAATGCTTAACGTATTCGCTATGCGCGCAGATCTACGTCTCAGTCTACATCAGGTAGTCGAAACGCTCTGTTAATTTGCCCACAACTCATATAGTATCCACACGTACACAGCATAACAAAACTCTTGAAGCTATACTCGTACAGAATAAAACAAGGGTAAAAATGAATGTGAGTACTTCAGAGTTAGCCTCTAAATACGATTCGATCAGCTCTGTGTATTTGCAGAACAAGTTCCCGGACGAAGCTTTCAAATTGGTCGATTTCGAGATCACCGATGACGTACTCGATGTCGGCTGCGGCCCTGGGAAGCAGTGCAAGTATTTATCTCCACTCGTCAACTCTGTTATTGGTAAGTTGGATAATGTTGGATTTGTTATAGGCCTATAGGAGATTTAAGGCCCTAAAAGAAGTCATTTCAACCTAATATGATTAATGGACAACACAATTACCTGTGAATATACAATCTATTGATGAGAAGCTGGTTCTTACAATGATAAAGATGACGATGATGTAGATGATTATGATAACACTTAAAATAATGTTGATAATATCTATCTATCAAGATATTTTCTCCCAGTTCGAAGTCGATTGCGATTTTTTTTCCACACATCTCTGTTTCTGCCATCCTAGTACACTGTTGCAGTACCATTCCACTCCATGTCTTAATGTTCCCATCCCAGTTATTTCTTGGTTTCTCTCTAATTGGTACGGTATACATTTCACTTTTCCTTCCAATAATTTTTTTCAAGAGACTCTGATGTCTTAAATGTGGCCTAAGTATTTTTGTTTTCCTTTAACCATTCATAACAGGATATTGTGTTCAAGCCCTGCGATATGCCATATTTTCAATTTTAGTTCTCATATCTTTCCATGATATCGTTCTCCTGTACGCCTAATTTTCACAGGATGTCCTTTTCCATATAATTTGTTTAAGGGCATGTTTCTGCTCCAACGATTATGATCTGCGGAACAATCGAGCAAACAGACATTGGCTCAATCCACCAGATGCCTTTGTTACGTCTAACTTGTAAAATTGCAGATCATCACCCTTTATTAGATTACCCAACTGTACAACCCGATTGCAAAAAGTTTAAAACGGTGAATGATCGTCTTGCGACAAACTCAAAAAGTCATGACATTTCACTCCTATTCTAAAACCTCTTCACTTGTTCCCTTTTCAACAGCCTATAAAACCAATCATGCACTAAATAAGTATACTCAGTGGCGGATCCAGGGGGCACAGGGGGAATGCCCCCCCCCCCGGCTAAAAACAAATGTGTTGAAATCAGCCCCAAATTCGCCAAAAATGTACAGAAAAACAGGGACGTGCCCCCTCCCCCCCCCCCCCCCCCCCCCGGCCAAAAAAAAAATTAGCGCGCACTCCCCAACTGATACTGCACCCTCTGTAACATCGCTTTCCACATATTGTTCTGGGCCCCTTTTTGTAAAACTTGTTATCAATAACCAGTGTCGCATTTCTATTAAAACTTCGCTCCCAGCCAATCAAATTCAAGGATTTCACTAGCTTCATTTTAACAGTTTTTGCAACTTGTTATTAATTACGAGTTTTTGTAAAAGAGGGCCCTGGCTTACATTCAACCAGTAAGATCAGGCATAATAAAATCTGAATTTAACGAAACTGGAGGTAGAGCATTCAATTCAATTCATTTCAAATAATTCAATTTCCATAACTAAATCAAAACATTTTTAATCGGATATACTCTTACCAATCTGTGTCTCTCACTTTTCTGCTTTCATTCAAATCATTTTAATAACAGGGTGGACTTTCCCTTTATTTAACTAGTAAAGTTTATAAAAATGTATCCGAGTTAACAAGATAGATATTCTATGTTCTAGTAATACTTGTGGTGGCTTCTTGTACACAGCGCTCAGGTCAGATTTTAGATCGACAAACAAACCACTTCTCACTGACCATGGCCTATACTCCGAATCATCGGGTCATATAGCTTCAGGTCGGGTTGTAACAACCTTTCGGGAAATGATACAAACAAGATGATTCAGTTCAATCAAGATGATCGGTTGACAGTCAAACAATTTTTGTTTTAGTAAACACAAAACTTAATAGTTTCATGAATAAAGGGGTATGTTTTAAATGTACTATGTCCTATTTGCAGGCCAAAAATGAAAAGGTTAAATTTCAATGTCATTTGAAAGATAATGTTTATTTAGACATTCCCTCAAAAGGAAAGGGCTTGAAAATGTCTTTTAGTGGGAAAATAACGACCATTAGTTGTCGAATTGACTTTAGTGATTGCAATCATTTTACCGAATGGTCGTACGTTTTGTGCTGCGTCGTGAGACTCATGAGAAGCATTTCCTATGTATAGTATTGTTTGGGCTAACTTTAAAACTGCCCCCCCCCCCTCCTCCTCCGTCTGAACTCCTGGATCAATACCCCTGCAATGTCACTGCAAAAACTTTTCCATAGCATAGACATCTCAGTTTCCTAAAACAAGACTCCTTATTTATTGAGATAACTGTTGGTTTTTTTAAACAGGATTTGACATCTCGCCTGGAATGATAGAGTTTGCTAGGCGGGAAAACTCGGCGCCAAATATTCAATACTTCGAAGATGACGCGCAGACTTTCGGTGATCACCATGGCGATTGGAGCGAAAAGTTCAACAAAATTATCTGTTTTGCAGTACTGCACTGGTGCAAGGATGAGGAGGGAACACTCAAGAATATCTACCACTGTCTCAAGCCGGGTGGAACATTCATCCTCGGCTTCCCATTTAAATTCCAACTCCATGGCAAAACGAGTTGCTACGGTGAAACAGGCGATATGTGGATTCGAAATCATCCGCGATGGGGTTCATTTCTTAAGGTAAAACATTAGTACAGCTTATCATTTCATGGTTTGTGCAATCAAAAATATATATGAAAAAATGGAACCAAAGTCACGATAGTTCATAAAAAGAGACAAAAGAGACAGTTTCTCTTATTTATTCCGTTTGGTGTTAATTATAACATACAAAAGTTATATTTTAATGATTTTTTTGTTTACTGAATTTGAATTGCGTTGTGGCTTTAAATATACACCTATTATTACTGTAGAAGCTTTAGGCATTATTAGCTACAGGTTTTTCTGACACGGGTTCACAGCGAAAAGGAGCTTTGATAATTAATTTGATTTTCTCTGTTTGCAAGTCTTTTATTTCATTTTTACTGATTATTATTTGCTTACAATTTGTTGTTGTTGCTATTCAATAAGTTCTCACTGACATAGTTTATTATCTGCAACAAGAAGTATTCAGCCGTCATTGATTTGTTATAATTCTTTTGTTGTATTATTCATTAATTTTTTTACCGCTCCTTCTAATTATTTCTTCCCACTCCGCACCCCCCCCCCCCTCCCCTCCCCTCCCCATGACAGGACTACGACACTCATGTTTTCCCTAGGGAAGATAGTGAAATGTTTCTTGAATGTATGAGATCAGTAGGTTTCATCATACAAAAAGTTCAGATTTACCCCGGACGATGGGTGCAATGGAATGAGCAATGGATAAAGGGTAAGTACGACGGGATCTTGAATATATCTAATTAAAAAATAATAATAATTGCAGTCAGACTTTGTCATTAAATATGACAGTTTATGAGCTATGCCTGTTGTGTATTGTATTGTACAGGCAGACCTTGTTTAAAAGATGTTCTTTCTAGCAGTGTCTAGAATTTCAATACATTGTAAAACTTTTACCGTATGTTGTGGTATATGCCACGAAGTTAAAAGGTGACTAGGACCCCCATTTTAAACAAAAGAGTAGAATCATTAGAGAAACAAGAGAAACCAGTGTTTTACAGTTTGATATTTTTTCAGACATTTTGAACATTCCAGTTCATATTTCCCGTAACAATGTCAAAAATTGTAAGCTTGAGAACATTTTCTTCTTAATTTACACTGTCGCTCATAAAGGTGGAATATTTTTGTTTTACCCCAATTACGGAATTAATAAAAAAAGTTATTTAAAAATAACAGATCTAGATTATAGTATACATTATCAGATTTTATCGAATAATAATTTGACAATGTGTGTTTTGCGTGACTGCTAAAGCATGTGTATGCTACTATACTTATCAAATAGGGGACCTACGCCCTTAAGTCATAAATGACGGTAATGAGGATTAATGCCCCACAAAAGGGCACTAATATAGCACATCGACACGGTTTTGATCCTGGGGCCTTACAGTTACGAGGCCATTGCTTTGTCACTGAACCATGACTGTACGCAGCGGGGGCTAGGGTAGGGGGCAGTTTCCATAAATAAAAAAAAAACAGAAAATGCAATAAATTTTCAATAATTTATTGCATTTTACCCCGGTCCCCAACATAAACAAATCCTCTGGATGGCCATGTATTTTGGCTCAAGGTATGAGCACACAGAGGATTTCTTTATGTTGGGAACCGGGGTAAAATGCAATAAATTATTGAAAAATTATTGCATTTTCTGTGGTATTTTTTATTTATGGAAACTGCCCCCTACCCTAGCCCCCGCTGCGTACAGTCATGGTTCAGTGACAAAGCAATGGCCTCGTAACTGTGAGGCCCCAGGATCAAAACCGTGTCGATGTGCTATATAAGTGCCCTTTTGTGGGGCATTAATCCTCATTACTGTCATTTATGACTTAAGGGCGTAGGTCCCCTAATTAATAAGCATAGAAGCATACACATGCTTTAGCAGTCACGCAAAACACACATTTGCATATTATTATTCAATAAAATCTGAGAATGTATACTTTTATATAGATCTATTATTTTTAAATTATTTTTAAAATAATTCCGTAAATTGGGGTAAAACAAAAATATTCCACCTTTATGAGCGACAGTGTATAAACGTGATCGCATTGACTTTCGAAAAGTTAACTTTAAGTAATTTTATTAGCCTTGTCCATTTCCTTTTACATTGTGGGAACATTAAAACGACGTATTGCGTAATACTACCATGATGTCTAATAAAGGGATAGGGTATCGAAATTATACTTGAGATCAGTTCTCGAAACTCTTTGCGATCTTCTCATGTAAAGTAACGGCCTTTTTTTTAGTATACCCCCCCCCCCCCCACACCTACCTTACCCTAAACCTGTAATCCTTATGACCTTTGCAATATTCTCTGATTCATTTGACATTGTGTGTCCTTCTGTTTAGCGCCCTGGGTTTATACTATTAATTAGTATCTTATTACTTTTATTTTTGTTTTGTTATCATTATCATTTATCATTATCATTATTTCTTATTATTATCATTATTATAATTATTATTATTATTATCATTATTATTATTATTATTACTATTATTTTTACTATTATTATTATCATTATTATTTATATTACTATCACTAGTAGGCCTAGTAGTAGAAGTAGTATTAATATCATCTTCATAATTATTCATATTACTGTTATACCATTATTATTACCAGTATCATCATCAGCATTATCTATGTTATCATTCCAGCTCAACTGCGATGCCTCTTCGACCCCGTCACTCAGATTCCCGTCCAACACCGAGACGAATTTATCGATGACGTATACAAATGGCTGTATGACGTCACTCCCAAGCGACCTAATGGTGTTCTGCAAGGTGAACTTGGACGCTTTGAGTACATAATCATCTTGGCCACAAGAGAATAAAAGTGTTGACCACTACGATGATGTGATGTCTGTTTGAGTTTGTCCTTTCTCGTTTTCGTGCCTGATGTCTATTTGCTTACTGTAACCAAAACGCCCTCTGTTTCTTCTGACCTGTACTTTGTCTATTTTGCTCTGACCTTTGATTTATTCTTTGTTAATTGGTCCTTCTTCTGGGTACTTTGTCTATTTTGCTCTGTCCTTTGTTTGTTTGTATGCTTCTTTGTTTGTTTGTATGCATCTTTGTTTGTTTTTGTGAATGTTAATATTGGCCCCTTTGGCCGCCCATAGACCACAGCCTCATTGGAACAAAGACAAGGGGGAACTTTACAAATGTTTCGCTAAGTGGTGTAAAACGTGCCCACCACTGATACAATTATTGTTAACAGTAATGGAAATAACAAAAACGTTTAATTAAAGGACACATATTCTTGCACATCTAGAAATTTGCTTATTTGTCTAATTGTAATGGTTGTGGAAAACAATAATATCTGAGAGACGGGAGATATTTTAATAGAACGACACTTCATCGTCAGCACATAAGAGATAAACAATTTCAAATCCTAAATGTGAGTAAACAGAATTATATCAAGATGTGCAAAAGGAATAAATCCAGAATTTGGTGAAATTATTTCATAAATGTATTTCAGCCAGAGTTTAACAAACCTTATTTCGACATCGAGAATAATGTGTTTGTTATATGAATCTGCATGCATAATGTATGTTGCATTAATGATATAAATGAATTTGTTTTTAACTTGTAACTTTTAATTCGCGATCTATGATGTAACAATATAACAATATAATATGATTATTCTGTTACCAGGCAAAGAGCAATGTTAGCGCAATGCGCTCATATGCATTATTGGTATATATTTTGTTCCATTTGTTTGTATTTTTTTGTTTTTAATTCACTCTCTGAAGAAAATTGAAACCTGTCATAGTGAAGAAGAAAACTCTCTCAATGATTTTTATTTCAACTGTTTCAATTATTATATATATATATATATATATATATATATATATATATATATATAGGAAGATATTGTAACTATACATTTTTTAAAGATGAGTCTTTATTAAAGTAGATTATTCCCTTGACTTGGCATATTGACAGTATATTATCAAGGAGGGGTGCATGTGATTACCCTTCCGCAAAAAGGGGATCACACATTTTCCACAGATATCACTCTTATCGTGTAAAAAATAATGTTTCGCGTATATTTTTGTTTCTCTTTTTTGCAGCCGAATATCGGAACTGCAAAAAAAAAAAAACGTGGAGGGGCTGCAGCCCCCCCCCCCTTCCAGCACCCGCCATGTACGCCTGTTGCTTCACCTTGAAAGGAGCAGCATGGCAAAGATAGAAGAAGAATATAAACAGCCTATGATACAATAAAAAGGAATCAATATTTCCATTACCTTTATTGCTTTAGGATCGAAATGCCAAGAGTTGTTGCAGTTAACTGGTTTGGCTGAAGAACCCTGGTTCGGCCTAAAAGGGAAATAGAATTGATCAATTCAAAGTTCGTCAAAGTATAAGATTAAACCTGGGACACTCATAAAATGATTTTACGATCAAGACTAATATTCATTAAATATCAGGATCGCAAATACTTTCGAAAAATTAACCTAAGGACAATTATGAATACCATTTTTGCATAACCAACAGGGATCATGTTCAGATAACAAAATGCGTTATTGTAATGTTCACGCAATTCAGTATTTTATTTTTATTCATTACTATTTCCTCATGAAATTAGTCTGTCGGTTTCTAATATTGGTTTTCGCGAAATCGAAGCTATTCCAAAGAATTTTGTTCATATAGCAAACACTTCTCTCGCAGCACCCCTAGAGATGTCAGGCGGCACCCGGTTGAAAAACGCTGGACAAGGCTACTAAAGTTGACTCGGGTTAATTTTTTCGAAAGTCTTTGCGATCGTGTCAGAATCTGTAGTAACATGTTTGATAGTAAATATGACATTCATGTTGAAGGTAAGCATATCAAATTAGGGAAACGATGACTACTACGGTCTTCTTTTATCAGGGGAAGGGGTGGGGCACAACATGATGAAGGAAGGCTGGGGGTGATAAATGGTATATAGCTCTCCCGATGTGTCCCTCTAGTTGTAACAAGTTGCCTCGTACATTGGCATTTATTTTCAGAGCAAGACTGGTCCACCCTTTAATGCTAGTTCTAAATAATATTGTAGGCAACGATAGAGTTCATTACCTGTAGCCATAATCATAGTGTGAATAGCTGAATAATTACATATGTTATTAGGTCAGTTAGGTCAAAGCATATAATTTTAGAACCACCCCCTCCCCCAAGTCTTTGAGTGCCTTCTCTCAAAACATCATAGAAAAAAACATGAATCCATGTTGATATACGTTTTAATGATATGATGACTTTTTTAGAAGAATTGTGTGCACATATCCCATTCAACTATAGCTCCGGCCGAGAGTACAACGGCAAGAATGAATGAACATTCCAATAGTAAAATACTGGCCTGAAACATATTCAGGGCTAGTTAAAGTTTCAATGTGCAGAAAGTCATAATTCGCTGACACCAGACTTGGAGGAAATACCATTAATGGATGTACAACTCTAACAGTCTCATACAAGAAATACAGGGTTCGATCCTTGGTCGGTGCTTACATCCTTGGACAAGGAGTTTTTGCCCACAGTTGTCCCTTTCACAGCAGGTAACCTGGCAGTACTATAGGGTCATACTAACAACTGCAGGGTCCACAGGAAGAGCAGTATTAACACTGACGTAGCTACCCATGGTAAATAATAACAATCATTATAAAAAATGTTTCGTTATAATTTACCATAATCCATGAATGGTCCAGTTGTTTTTTACTTTGGATACAAGACAGTCCTGACAAAAGAAAAAAGATATACAAAACAGATGAGTATTGAAGCAAAAGACAACTACTTCAGACTGTAAGAAAACAGAAAATTTGAGAAGTAGGAAGGTGACAGTTTGAATGAAATCGGACAATAAATAAGAAGGTTACGACTTTTTGAAAGTTTAATCAATATTAGTATGGGTACTTCAAATTGGCTGAATCGGTAATGTCACTGTGGCGTGCCTGAAAACTTTCCCACAAAATGATTAAAATGTCAATTTAAAAAGGGGGGTCTTTCTTTTCCAGAGGACCTTTAATAAATATTATGCTACCCATAACATATTTTGGGTAGTGCCCCTATGGAGAAGGCACTTAGGAAAACGACAGAATTTGTAATATACTTTTGTACAAGAAAAAAGGGAATAGTCATGTCACATTTCGCAGACCAAATTTCCGATTTGAGATTCGTAAATATTTAGTGATCTCATATTTCAAATATTCATTACTTTCTTACCATTGGTCTGATTTATTTCAAACTTTCATCTTTCACTGGTTTGCTTTTCTTATGTTTCTGCTTTCATACAAATTAACTTATTCCAAAGGTTGGATTGCCCTTTAATTATTCCGGTTCATGATTATGAAATCGAAATTATCATCATGTGATCAATAATAAACCTGTTAATTAATGACAATAAAATAGGTGCCACAATGATGATGAGCGGATTTTACCCGTCCGAAAATAACTCACTTGGTCCATAATTACTATTACTTTTCACAATTAATTATTAATTAATTATCATTTCATTTCCTTGTTCGTGCTCCATAAAACCTCTCTCTTGCATTTCATATTACAGTATCATATTTCTCTGTTTACACCTTTTGTTCAAATACTCACAATTCACTTATTTTTTCTTCAAGTTTAGAGTGTCAAAGAGGTACGTTTATATAATTTCATTAATTCTATGGTCACAACCCGCCGTGCGTCTTTTATGCACGTATCTGCGTGTCTGCAGATGTGGTCAGATGGTTAGCCAATTTATACGTTTCGCACGACCTCCTTACGATCCCTCGTAGGAGCCTGCACCCTCCTCACAAAAATACTCCCTTAACATGCAAGAATACTTGAGGTGAATTACTCAAAACCGTCGTGCAGATGCCTTGCAACTGCCGTGCGATGTCTTACCTTTCCAAATCCACTACAGACTGTCGGCGGCCAGTTTAATGCGAGTATGAGACGACCCCATTCTGGAAGATGGTCACTTTGGAAGACACGGGTCAATAGATGGAATAAAATAGAAGGATTATACAATTATACGAGAAAAAAATACGAATATGAAAATGCTATTTACTGCAAGAAACTGGATTGCCACAAAACACACCAGAAAAAAGTTAACCAGCTATGACAATAATTATTCGAGTTTTTGCCAGAATATTAGGCTAATGTGCCGAAATTTATTTACAGAATCAACTCAATTGCAATTTCTGTCAGATTTTAAGAACGCTTTTAGAAATCAATACAAAGTTTTACTATGATAAAAAGAAATGAGGCTATAAAGTATACGAGAAAAACAGGCACATTATAATGCACATGCCTATTCCAAGAGGGGGGGGGGGGTTAAGGATAAATTTGATTACTAATTGTCACTAGAAAGCACAGTGGTGAACAGGGAAAAAAGATATTTAAAGAATAGAGTACGATAACATTTTTAGAATATTTAATCGAAATGTCCACACGTATATTAAAGAAGGGGAAAAACACTCATATATCAGTCAATACTAAGAAACGACATGAAAGTAACGCTTTTCAGTTATAGATCTGTATGGCATTAACTCTTCGACTATGGGAGCTGTGTGGAATCTGTATTATGTATTAAGCATACACACATTATTCAGGAGGCAATTGACAAATATATTGTGTAGGCCTGCCTCATGTAAAGGGATTTTGATTTAGCCCTATACTAACAAATATAAAAGCAGTAAATCAGTAGTGGTACTGGAAGGTAGAAAATGGCAACCTTCTTTCTTTATACATCTCAGCTCATCACACATAATCTTTTAAGAAAACATGTACACAAAATTATTATCTAAATGGGCTTACCGGCTCGGTATATCGATGTCGGCCCGATGACGTACCGATTCGACCACGGAGACGACCACTGAGGTACTTAAAATGAGAGTGATCACGACCATTGAATTCATGACTAAATGTTAGATACACAGCTAAGGCAAATCAAGTCAGGATGATGATAACACGTTATAATGAGGGAGTTTCTAGTACATGTATCACAAGCTGTACAGTCAAGTGATTTGGTTTCTTATGACACTTACTTCCGCTTCAGACCATGGGATTTCTTTGTCCTTAATGAATTAGGAGCAATTCCGAGGCTCGTCTATTGGTATGATCCAAATATAGATATTAGCTAAGCTGTTTCATTCTACAAATCATCACGGATGGGAAGAAATAATAATAATAATAACAATATTTATAAAGCGCAACATACATGTATCCATCTCTAGAGATGCTCAAGGCGCATACAAATGATTTAAACTAATATTCAACATACTTAAGATTAAAGAAATATTAAATGTTAACTTGCATTAGATCACACAACTTCGTAGGCCCGAATTCAAAAAGGCGTTTTTTTTTTGTTTTTTTTTTTTGGGGGGGGGGGGCAGGGGTGGCCCTAGATTCGCCACCGATACTGCTACTCCTGCAGGAAGAAGTTGGTAGGCGTCTAGGGAGGGAAAGAATCTTCCGAGACAGAGCTGACCCATTGGATAAGCCCGGCAAAGAAATCTGGAGGAAATACAGATTGAAAAGGGCTGGTCTACTTGGTCTCGTGGACGGATCAAATAATAAATAGAAGTTATTATAAAAGTATGTTTTTCTCTCTTGTTATGATAAGAAGGCTGTTGTACAAATTTAGTGATACATGACTGTGTAGGTCAGCGTACGTTTATTTAACTAAAGCTATTGTGAATGAAAGAAAGAAGTCTTCGCCACGTTTAAGCTGCTATAACAATATAAAGGAATTTGTTTAAACTGCCCATGATGAGTAACATACATGTATACACCCCCACCATCAGCAGAAGGAATACATATATCCTTGTATCATTAGACATGACTTATGCATCTCTTCAACAGATCTATCAGTGAGTTATTTCTATTTCTATTTTGTTGTTGTTTTGTTTGCTTGGCTATTTAATAAGCTTATCAAGCGAAATCTGCTTTAGGAAATGAAATTATGAAGACTTTGAAGACAAAATGTCATGGTTTTGCTTTGACCTTGCATAAAAATATGTGTTTAAAGTCCATGTACAATAAAACAAACGATGACACATAAACAAGACATTAAAAACAAGAGTTCAAACTATTTATTTTCTCGAACAGGCTATGAGCCCTCTTTATTATTCAAATGTTTTTTTATATTGAAGTTGAATCTCGTTTCATATATCAATTTACAATTTGTAATATATTATACTGCAATAGATATCAGGTTAAAAAATACTTGTCAAACATGAATCTTCAAGTAACACACAATATGAATAATATAACCAACCAACACCCAAAGACTGGTATAAAACAGACCTTTTTGTTGCATGTATTTGGTTCATCTGATATATCACATCCCATCTTGACATATCAGTTGATGCTATGTCAGGCAAGCATCAATACTGTCAGGTCATTTAGAGCATTTATACACTTTGGCAAGTTGATTAACACGGATCTATTGATAGCAGGTTCAATGAAGGCTTTACAAAATACATTTGTCGGCAACAACAACATTATTGCATGTCTATGATTTCAAAAAGTATATTTACCAATTAAAACTGCAATCAGTAGCTCAAATAGCAGGAAGGGTCAAATATACTACCGGTTAACTTAGGCCATGTAAAAAATAAACATGTTTAGCGTCCCCGCCCGTTTCCTTTTTGGGGGCCGCCTCCTAATTTTTTATTTTTTTTTGAAATTTTTGAATTTTTTTTTTTTTTTTGATTTTTTTTTTTTTTTTGAATTTTTTTTTTAAAGAAAAAAACATGAAAAACCCTGCTAAATGGATCTATGATTTAAATCTGATTTAAAAAAAAAAAAAAAAAATGTCGGCAGCCATCTTGAAAAATAGCCCGACTGTGAGGGAAAATGAACCGAGCGGCCATTTTGAGTGGCCATTTTGAAAGAAAAAAAAAAAAAAAAAAAGGGCCTCCTCCTTCCTATTTTTCGAAAAAACAGGACGCTAAACATGTTTTGTTTTTTTATTTGGCCTTACTGTTTAAAATCTTTGGTTCTATGACACTTAATTAGACCTAAAATAACAACTTGTTGCATTGCCCTTTGCGACCGACCCAAAAATCTGAAAATCTACGGTCGGTATTCAAAAAAAAAAAAAAAAATTGTTAGATTTTTTAGATTATTTTTTTTTACTACTGAATAACAAAATATGTATTTTGTTTGTTTAAATGGGATATAAATGCATAAAATGAAATTATTCCAAAATTATCACTCGTGCAATCCATGGATAATTATGAGGTGAAAAGATATTAATGGAATGATGACGCATTAGAAACTGAGAAATATCAGCCAAAAGAGGGCGGGAAAAGAACGAAAAAAATACACAAAACATTCAAATCTGAAAAATATCGGCCCAAAGAGGGCGACAAAAACAAAGTTAAAGCTAAAGACCAGTTATGGTCATGCGATTGCATTGTGAAAGAAACATTGTGAAATCGATCAGAAAAGGTTGATCATCTAGCATAGATGTACTGCAAGGTTCTGGAATCATCAAAATGATAAGAAATTTGGCCAAGTCTTCATAAAGTTAGAATCACTGTACACAGAAAGATGTATATGGGACTACACACACGTGCGCGACGCGTGCATTTGTATCTCTCAACAGGCAAGAGATACACTAATTTACCAAATATATCAATTAGTAGGCGGTTTCCTGTCAACATTTTTATCATTATGTTTATTCAAAACATTTTCTTTCACATGATTGGTATAAGAGCTTGCATTTTCAATTCCTGGTCTTTTTCCGACCGACCGACCCATGTTTTTGCACCCAAAGGGCAATGCAACAAGTTTTTAATTTTAGGCCTTATGAGAAAAATGCTAATAATTAAATGTCCTACACTAATAAAGTGAACTGAATTCTTAACTTAAACCGTCGACCAATATTTGACTTGACCTTAACCACCCTAATTCCTACCTAAAACCCAATTAGGCCTATATACATGCGACCTCGATCGACCCTATACCTCATTAACTCTAATGAAATACTGCACTAATCAAAATAATGCCTGGTCACCAAAAGTTTTAGAGTCTCTTTAATGATTATGTATCGCTTTAGTGATCAGAGTACTGAAAGCATCATTCAAATTGGAAAAAATATCCTTGAGCACGGCATTTTATCTACATTGCTCCACTCTACCCAGGCGTAGATTGGGTACCCAGTATATAGGAAACAAAAGTCATTGTGGTTGGATAAGCATGTGCGGGCCCGCAGAAAAGGGCGACTATCTGGAAATAATGCTCCCCAGAGAGTGAAGAATGTGAATTATATTCTGCAAAATAGTCAATGATTCCAATGACTGGGATAATAAAACTACTGTAAGAGCTTTGGTCAGTACATGGTGAAATACTATATAAGAAACTGGTGTTGTTATTATTACTAAAACATTAATATAATATTTCCCAGTACTCTGTCAATGAAAGGCTAGGTGTATCTCCGTATACAGTATGAGGACTTCAATACCTACTTCCTTAAAATAGAAGAAAAAAAAACGTGATTATTTATCATGATTAACATCATTATCATTATTATTATTACAATTAATCATATACAGTTTACTGGAACGTTTACAAACATACACATTTACTACTCATGAATGTAAACAAGAAAATGATGAAACCAACATGATAACTCAGTGGAAGAACGATGGTCTTGGAACTGGAAGCTCTCTGGTTCAAAACCAAGTCAATTCTCTATCACTCTTTGCTATGGCATTAATCACTACTTATTACCAAGTCCCTTTGACAGGACTTAAAGCCTATCTGCACTAGTTTGGCCAGGAGTGATGAGACCTCCCTGCCTGGTCACTTACAGGTGGTCATCTCCAGTGGCGGATCCAGGGGGGGGACCCGGACCCCCCCCCCCTTGAGAAAACAAGGGAAACGCTCTCGGCGGTCTCGCCTGCATAACGCAATTCAATATGATAAACCAGAACGTCAATGACGTAGCGCTCATCCGCATCTCACAACAACAAATATCGTAAATTTTATGTGGTACACTTTTGAACTGGTCAAAAAATAGAAATTTGATGCCCTGGAAGGGACATAATTTCATTTCATTTGCATAAAGTACCATAAATAATCAATGGAGCAAAATCTCACAATTCTGTGTAGAAGTTTATTGTTCCAAATTTAGCTCTACCAGATAAGGCAAAATCGGTCAAGAAATGAGGGAAAAGAAGCAATTTTTGTTATTTTTGGAATAAATTTGCATTAATTACCATAATTAATTAATGGAGAACAATTTCAAAATTCTGTGTAGAAGTTTAGTGTACCAAAGTTAGCTCTACGATATAAAGCAAACCAAATCAAAATCGGTCGAGAAATGAAGGAGAAGAAGCCTTTTTTGTGATTTCGAATAAATTTGCATAAATTAGCATAGATAATGAATTTCACGATTCTGTGTAGAAATTTTAAAGCCCCTCCTAGCCCTATCATATGAAACAATCAGAATCAAAATCTGTTGAAAAATAACGAAGAAGGAGCATTTTGAAAATCTTAATGTTGATGCCACAACAAAGTCTGAGTTTGTTGACCTTAAATGGCCTTTGACCTTAACTTAGTGACCTGAAATTCTACTCACATGATTGGGGAGACTTGATAACCCTATAGTCCAAGTTTCATTGACTAAGAACTTATACTTTCAAAATTATATCAAAAATTCAAAAACTTAACCTTAGGTTAAGTTTTCGATGATGATGCTACAACATAGTCCAAGTCTGTTGACCTGAAATGACCTTTGACCTTGACTTTGTGATCTGAAATTCTACTCACATGATTGGGGATACTTGATTACCCTATAGTCAAAGTTTCATTGACTAAGAACTTATACTTTAAAAATTATACCAAAAATTCAAAAACTTAACCTTAGGTTAAGTTTTTGATGTTGACGCCGTCGCCGTCGCCGTCGCCGTCGCCGTCGCCGTCGCCGCCGCCGTCACCGGAAAAGCGGCGCCTATGTCTCGCTTTTTGCTACGCAGGCGAGACAAAAATCATGTAAAATCACGTGATTTTTACCTTTTTTTGGGGTTGGACCCCCCCCCCTGGCGCTCAAGGGGGGGGTGCAAATTGAAATTTTTTTGAGTTACAAAAAAAAAAAAATGTGCTCACTACCCCCCCCCCCCCCCCCCCCCCCCCCCCCCCCCCCCCCCCCCCACTGAGCGAATTTTTGGCCGGCGCGATTTTCCAATTTTCGGGAGCAAAACAAAAAAAAAGTTGGGGCCCCCTCCCCTAAGAAATCCTGGATCCGCGCCTGGTTATCTCATCAAATCAGCTTTCAAATAACATAAGTAAAAGGGGACCATGTGGTCACCGCTTAGGTATTGTTTGCTATATAGAGGGCGCAAGTAGCTATAAGTAGTGCAGTGGGGCTTTAAAGTCTCAGGTCTCCAATGGTTACTTACCTACAAGTATATCATCAGGACCCCCACAAGAAGGCTTTAACCCTATTTAGCCCGGGGGGGGGGGGCTTTAGAAGCCCCCCCCCCTCAACATTTTTCGCGATAATTTTTTAACGTAAGAAAATCTTGCACTGAAATTTTGTGACTTTTTTCTTTTGAGTCTTGCACATCTTTTGAAAGAAATTTTTCGAAAATCGAACCTACGATTACAAAGTCACGTGTCGTTTTGTCTTTGCATGTCAGCCCGAAAATCACTCATTTTTGTGATGTGTGTACAAAACATATGGAAATCTCATTTTTCAAATAAAGACATAAAACATTGGTTATTTGGTCTTGTTTATATTTTAGGTGTTTATTTTGGGGTCAAAATAGTTGAATGATAGTTGGAAATGAAATAAAACACAAAAACAATAAAATACATAAGTTAAAAAAACAAAGAAATACATAAGAAATTATCAAAACAATAGATAACATAAGGAATAACCCTGGTTTTTCAATTTTTTGTGTTGTATTATGATTCCAAATGGTCTAACAAATATATGTAGTGAGGAAGAATGCTTAAATATGAATAATATCTTATTAATGGGCGAAAATGTGAATTTTATAACCTTATTTGCATAAATTACCATAAATATGCAAATGAGTGAATTTTGCAAAAAAATGAAATAACCATAGTATTCTATACACTTCACTTGACATGTATGCAAATTTTCGCGGCGATCGGGCGTTTCACGGCCGAGATCATGGGGGGGGGGCCTTAGAAGCCCCCCCCCCCCCCCCAGGCTATGCAGTTTTGAAATAGCCCGGGCTAAATAGGGTTAAAAGCTTTGAATGTTCTAGGGCAGTAGGCCTAGTGGCTTTTCGTGGATAGATGATGATATACTTGTTGTCTTTGACAGCAGTCGGACAGAATAAGTCATCAATACATAGAAGTAAAAATTCAAATTGATCAATTGACGATTATTGCAAACTTGAGGAAGAGTATGTAAATTCACTGTTTACATATTGCTCTCCTTATAATATCCAATATGATAATCCAGTATATATTTCTTTGGCAGAATAGTACAGAATAATGCAAGAGAATACTAAACAAAAACTGGCATTAAAACATTGATAATTTATCAGAATTAAATCCCTGATTTCTTTCCAATACTCAGATCAAAGAAACTCTAGGAATGTCTAGAATAATTTGGCAGTACAGTCATGTACTTTCAATTAAAGCTTTAAAATAGCAATCATTAACAATAAACAATTTTTTACAAAAACATTTTTAACACATAATTTCAATCATAGTAATGTGAAAATCTTCCAAAAAGTATTACAAAACTGAAGTTCAATTACATTTAGTAAATAATTAAAAGCATAACAAAAAAATGCTGAAATACATCAACTTGTGGTAATGGCAGAGATTGTGGTTCACACATAATCTAGTCTATATTTGTCACACATATGTGACAAAGCAACATCAAGCATGAAATGTCATGCACAACTTACTTCAAATGAGTACCTGAGTGCCTGTTAATACACTAAGGTACACCAACACTTCAAGCACATTATGCTAATGGTTACATTTTTCATGTTCTAATCATAATGAAGATTGCTAACATAATGAACAATATACTGGCAGTTTATGACGTTTCAAATAGTAAATTCTGATTACTTTATAACCTCATTGCAATAATTTCACCTGAGTTCCAAATACAGCACACCACACAAAAGCATTTGATGCAAAACAGCAGTGATCTCTTTAAGAGTACTGAATTATCTGGTCCCTATAAACCTCAAGTATTAACACATGTGTATACAAAATATTATTCATCTGGTATTTACGAAAGACTTTAATTTTCTCAACTGATTTGAACAGTATTTCATAGCAAAGTTATAAAAAAATCGCCCCATAGTTGCTACATTTGTTATATGTACTGTAATCAAAATGATTTTCATGAGTAGTACTTTCTAATTTTTCAAGAAATTGAATTTTTAATTTACTCTCTCACAAATCTTTTCTCTGTTATTCATCTAGAGACAGAGTTTCACTGGTTATAGGCTGGTAAATTAACTTCTCATTCAGTTCCTGAATAAACATTTATTACCTGAATAAGCATGCCTTGAGTTGAGAATGAGTCATGATGGTAATAACTATTTCTGTTCTTCGGACACTTGTAAAATCCCTCTTATATAATCTAACTAGCTCATCAAGTCGTCAAACTCTTTTTAATATTCAACATTATCCGCTTTGTCTCTTGCATATACTTTTCCATTGTCCCTTGTGTCCGATTGTCACTAAAAATATTCTGGAAATGAGGGTTTTTAGAAATCATACGATCATGGAGATGTTTGTAATTTGCATAAAATTCTTTTGATTGATCGCCATGCCGTGATAGCTCGCCAAGCATCATACATGACCATAATGGTACATTAGCAAAATGCTTCTCAATGGCATTGAAAGGCTCTGGATTATAATATGCATTTAGTAATTGGTCATGACCTTCATTGGCATGGGCGATATATCGTTTAACCTCATTTACAGTAATATCAAAAAGTTCCAAAAAAGGGGAATCGATATCTCTCCCATAGTTTTCCTTGGGCGATTTAATGACTTCTAATAAGTGTGGTTGGTAATAACGGCCTTTCGAAATCTGACATTGATTGATTATCATCCTTGTTTCTCTCTTGAGCAGATACAGAAAGTAAATTTATGGCTGCCTTGATCACCTCCATTTAGACCCAACGTTGGTTACCTGAATAAGCATGCCTTGAGTTGATAATTTTGCCCTTTGCTCTTGAATAATTAATCATTTGAATCTCTCCCGAAGTTTCCATGGGCGATTTAATGACTTCTAACTACTCAGTGAACTCAACTGAGTAAATATATACAACGTACATTTCCAGTGTGGTTGGTAATAAAAGGCCTTTTGAAATCTGACAATGACTGATTATCATTGTTGTTTCTCTCTTGAGCAGATACTGAAAGTGAATCTATGGCTTTCTTGAGCACCTCCACGTACACCCGTCATTGGTGCTTTCTAGCATCACAGTTGCCAATTTGAACCCCCCCCCAAAAAAAAAAAGGATCCTAAAGCTATAAAGAAATATGATACTGACCGAAAACCATTGATTTTTCTCATTGCAATGTGAACTCTTTTGAGAAAATTAACATACACCAGCAGTTATTGTAATTTTATTCCAATGTAGCATCAGAGTTGCCAATTCGGACCAAAAAACGTTTTTAAATTTTGACGCTGATTTTGTTATTCTCACGGTGAACTCATAGCTTCTTTGAGAACATCAAAGTAGACCTGTGGTTGGTGTTTCTTTGCCAGCATCCTCTCTGCCACCGCCCCTACCCTGAGGAGTCTATCCTCCTCCCACCAAGGGCCCATGATCTGCAGACCGATCGGAAGGTTCTTTGCGTCGTAGCCCACCGGGACAACTAGTCCCGGGATGCCAGTCAGATTGGCCAGTGGAGAAAACCTATGAAAGGAAGCAGAGTATGTCCAGTAAAAAAGGCGATTCTGTACATGTGCCATATTAGGTTTGAGTACTGTAAAACCGGAAGGTTTTGTGTGCATGAAATATTCAAGAATTTTGCAAGTGGACCAGATTCAAAACGTACTAGTCCAGTCTACATCATACATGATACCACAAAATGACTGAATCACAATTGATACAACATTCTTTGAATTTCAGAAAGGGTCTTGCCTTGAAAGTCTCTCTGGTTTACAATTCAAACAAGCTTTTGCCCCGTAACACAAAAGTTTGCCATCAATTGCCAATTTGAAACAATGATTCTGATTGGTCAATTGTCAGCCTTTTGAACAATATATGCATGCAACAATGATCTTGATTGACCATTGACATTTTGCGCTTGATTGCAACACGGCCGAGATCTGATCATTTACACCTGGGGACCAACAATAACTGTTACCATCCAACAGACACAACCTGGTTTTGAACCAGAGTCTGTCAGAGTAGGCTTACCGGCAAAGACCACTAGACCAACCCTGAACATGGATACATGTATATGAAGATGATACATTGTAAGAAGTAATTTTTTATTTTTTTTTAAACTGACATATCTTAAAATTCAGACCTTCACACAAATGACAACAAAAATCTTAACAAAAGCTATTTTGGTCTCTTGGACTAAGAGGCACTATTGCAGGATTTGAATCCATGCCGTGGCACTCATGTCCGTCAGCAAAATATTAATCTACATTCGCCATTCTCCGTCCAGGTGGAAAGTTGTTATTGATGTTGCTGATGATATTATTTCATCATTACTAATATCATTATAACAACATGAAATCTTAGATTGGAAGACCAAACTTGATGGACTAATAAGAGATAATTTACCTCATAATATCGATGATCATGCCGGTGTCATTGACACCATATTTGAGGTCACCTGGTTGTATCCTTGGTGCAGTGATGCCACAACCTATAGAAACATAAAAATCAAACAATGTCAAAGGTCATAGGTCAAAATCAAAGTCACCTGGTTGTATCCTTTGCGCGGTGGTGCCACAACCTATAGAAACATAAAAATTAGACAACTTAAAACGTCCTAGGTCATAATCTAGGTCACCTGGTTTTTTCCTTGGTGAGTGATGCCACAACCTATAGGAGGCATAAAAATCAGACAATGTCATAGGTCACAGGTCAGAGGTCATAATCAAGATCACCCGGTTGCATCCTTGTTGCGGCGATGCACACAACCTATAGAAACATAAAAATCAGACAATGTCAACGGTCATAATCAAGGTCAACTGGTTGTATCCTTGGTGTAGTGATGCCACAACATATATATATATATAAGCATAGTGATGTTCTGAACATAATTTTCATAAAAAACGTTATTCATTTCATATTTCATGTGATTGAAGCTATATTAAAGGCTATAAACAACTAAATCCATTATTAGATGTGGTCCGTACCCTATGGGACAAAACCCTTTTTGTCCGGGTGGGCTAGGGAGGTGGGAGTGAAGGCTAACCATATCAGAAAAACAATAACTTATCAATTCTGTGAGTTATAGATACTGAGGGGTAGTGCATCCTAATTTAATTATTAAAGTAGTCGCACTTATTGTTGAAGAAATTTAGTGCCTCATTTGTCTGCGTTTACCTGAATACAATTGAAGAGACTAACCTGGACAGATAATGACATCCACTTGTTTGAAGATCTGCTTGAGGAAATGGATAGTTCTTGTTCGTTGTTTGTTAGCATTGATGTACTCCACTGCATTAGCTGATGAAGCCAGGCCTAGAACAAGGGCAGTGTCTCCAACCTAATCAAGAGACACCATTATCAGTTGAGCACTTGTAAAACCGATAAACAGTCGAATCTGTCCTTTAACCCTATGTTAACTGAGGGGGGGGGGGTCAATTTGACTCCCCCCCCCCCCCCTGTAGAAATTTTGTGACTACTCCGAAACCATGGCAGATATAAAATTTTCCTTTCATGACTTTTTTCTTTCGAGCCTTACGCATCTTTTAAAATGAATTTCAAAAATCGGACGTCTCTATAGACAGGTGTCTACAGGTAGTTGCTATTGTAAGTTTGACTGTATAACGATACAGTTTCATGTTTTTACTACAATGACCAATAAAAAACAATAAAATCAGCTAAAAATTGATGAACGTCAATTGTAATTCTACTTACAAAATCACAGAGATTATCTCTATAGGCTTCTTGGAGGAAAGAATGCATTTCTGTGGAGATGAGGAGACAATGGGCCATTCTCATCTCCTCACATTCTGGGATGTTGATGGCCACCAGCTCTGCTCCTTGTTTCTCCAAGTATACCACAGCTGCATGAGGATGATAAGGAGCATCAGAGAAAATAAATCATTAGGTCACAACGTTGGTGAGGAAACTTTCCTTATTTCCTTGCACTTTGAAAGTTGTTCAACAATTGTCTGTCAGGTCAATACCCTCCACTCACCTATACCCAAACCTCATCCTGGATCCAAACACATATTGACGCTAATCTACATTTGCCACAATACACCCAGGTTAGGAAAATGGATACCTGGTAAGATTACTACTTGAAAAATGGCAGAAAAAAGGGAAGTTAAGCAATGCAGTTTGTGTGTGAATGCCAACCTCATTGCGTGCAGAAGCTTTCAGAAAATAGCTGAAAGTAAGTCCTGAAAGTTTTATGATTTACAATGACTTTCAACATTATTTTTTATGTAAATGAAAAATAAATCTATTTCTTTCCAATCATCATTTTTTTCTAAATCAAATTGTCAAGTCTAGGTAAAGGAAAACAGATGGCAAACTTTCGCTAGATTTGCCAAATGAGGTGGCAAAACCACTGTGATTTATTTATGATGACATAAAGTAATGTGTGGTGCAAATATTTGCATGAACTGAAAATTATCTCCAAAACCAACTCAAATATGATGATATTCCACACAAAAAAAAAAAAATCCTCTTGAACTCAACCATTATACTGACCTTTTTCACATTCTGCAACAATCTCTGCATTGGCATCCTGTCAAAAACAACACAGGAAACAAAAGGCATGTGATTTCATTTGTAAGGACTGCTTAAAAAGGAAGTCCACTTTGGCATTGTACATGATGTGTGTTGAGAGATTAGAACAGTACAAGAGTATCATTGAGTTGAATTTAATTGATTTGGTTTATTGCAATAATGCAGCTGGAAAGCTGAAATAGCACAATTTACAAAGTCAATGTACAACACAATAAATGATCAAAATATGAATGACTAAAACGTACAACCAAAAGTCGTGCATAATGAAACTATATAAAAGTAAAATATTACATACAAATCTGATTATATTAAACACTTCTGTGTCATCAAAGGTTACAGGGAAAGGAGAGAGAAAGAAAAGATGATCAGAGAATATACAAAAGATTGGAGGAGAGGGGTAGAGAAGGACAGAGTAGAAAATGAAAGTAGAAAGAGAGGAGAATGATCATGTTTCAAAGTTAAGTGATGAAACGCCTACCAATGGGGAAGTCCACCCTGATATTAAAGGTAAACACCAGTTATGGTCATGCGATTGCATTGTGAAAGAAACGTTGTGGAATCGATCAGAAAAGGTTGATCATCTAGCATATAAGTATTGGTGTGTACTGCAAGGTTCTGGAATCATCAAAATGATAAGAAATATGGCCCAGTCTTCGTAAAGTTACAAGCACTGTACACAGAAAGATGTATATGGGACTATACGCACACGTGCGCGACACATGCCTTTATCTCTCACAGACCATGTAGATAAACTAATTTACCAAATATATCAATTAGTAGGCGGTTTCCCGGCAAAATTTTTATCATCATGTATTAGTCAAAACATATTCTTTCACATGATTGGTAATAAGAGCTTCCATTTCATTTTTTGAAATTGGGGCGTTTCCAATACTGGTTTTTACCTTTAATTTGATTTAAATAGAAGCTGAATGAGAAATATGTATATTCTGATTGAAATCATCTAATTCCAAGCCTGGTGTGAAGAAAGTTAACATGGACGAAACTATCCTTAAAAATTTATCAAAATTAACCTGGATGAAAATATCCTTAAAATCTATAAAAGTTATACTGGACGAAAATATCCTTCTAATTTATACAAATTAACCTTAATGAAAATATTCCTACCCTGAAGTGTTTCCAGTCGATGCCAATCTTGAGTCCGCTCAGGCTTTTCGGCTGAAGGTCACCAATCGTCAAGGTTGGCTGATGCCAAGTGGCAGAGTCTAGAGGGTCTTCACCGGCCAAGAACTCTAAAAAAAATAGCACATCCAATATATACTTATCAGCGCTCAATAGGTTAAAGTGATTCATAGTTTCATATCAAGAATCCAATTATATTTGATCTTATTATATGTTTTAAAGGCCCACCATTGGTCCCCTATGATCCTCTTTTTCTTATGTTAATTAATAGCTGAGTTGATAGCCACCTGTCAGTGACCTTTGTGCCACATGTTTGTGTAGTCGCATATACACATTTCTTTGTACAATGCATGTGACCTTTGCTAAGAACCCACTGCACTATTCGTATAAGCGTAGGGGGAAACCCCTGTGTACGTGGTTCATCTGCACACACCCTCAGTATAGTACGATAATACTCTGTAAAGATGTCTGTACTAAAAAAAGAGGAAGACTATTCACAAGACTGGGCCAATTTCTTAATATTTTGATGATTTTAAAATCTCACAGTATACGCCAATACTTAAGTGCTACATGCATGAGGAACCTTTTCCGATCACTTCTACACAGTTTGTTTTACAATGCAATCACACGACCGAAACTCAATAAGTCGTTCAAAAGGCAGGGCGCGACAAACCCGCTTGCCCGACGTCCCGGGGCAACCAAATTGAGCCGTCGGGCAAGTAAATCAAATTATCACTTGCCCGATTCGGGCAAGTGATACTTTTACAGTAATTTCCTAGTGTCCAAGAACTCTACCATTCACCCGTCAACTTCTTACCCGTCGTCAAAATCCAGAAGCAAAAAAGCGATCGTTCCGATTTCGAAAAAACTTCACAGACAGCTAGCCAGCTCAGCTAGCTCAGCGCGCATGCAACAGTGACACTTCAAGCCATGAATGCCGCTCCGCCTCCACGCACGGCCGGCCGTGAGCTAGCTAGAGACAGCTAGCGCGATCGTACCAGCTGCGAGCTTATTCGCGCTCTCTCTCTCTAGCTCTGCAGGCCGCACCGACAGGCCTTTGCTATTCTCTGATTGCCGATTGGTTGAATCACGCCAAATATGACGTCATTATTCTAGGGAAATGAACACGTGCGAATCGGAATGGAATAAACAACAGGGATTTTCTAGTAAGTACAAAAAGTCAAATGTTTGATATTTATTCATAATGACTGTTAATGATTGTGAATGATTGTGAACATATTATTTAAAACTCGCTGCTCATATAAATCAGATGAATGTTTTTGCCTCGTTTTCAATTTATTACTGCGGTCTCAAGATCCGACCGAGCGAGTCATTTTGATAATAGTATCGAGACCCCCAGAATATAAGCCGTTGTTGTTTTGTTTTCATGGTTTTAGCGACGTTGTTTAGTCTAGTTTTCGCATACTTATCCGAGATTTATCGTAAAATATCTTCAATATTATTATTTAGTAAGAATTTACAAATTTTGGCATGATATTTATAGCAGTGAATGATGAAATAAAAATGTCCGTACTTTATTTAAAATAGTTGATTACCCATTATTTACATGACGTTTCTTGATGGAAGAGTTGACCCAAATTATTAACAGCTGAAAATTAGCCTACGTTTCCAAATGACAGCGGCTTGCACAGACACACATGTGATGTTGCACCATGGTACATGTGGCTACCATTAATGACATGTTTGTATCATATTTTTTACAACAGGGTCATTATGCTTTTTTACATGACTGAATATTAAAAACTTAAACCTGCTTGAACCATTCTACCTTGCCGAGATTCATGTGAATCTGATTATTTATGGAGAATCAATAAAATGTGTTTTTTAAACCTTCAACCATCCTTTGTTGACCATTTTCTTTGACATATTAGGTTATTATTCAGTACAGTTACACTGTACATGTATGTGCATTAATTTGCTATCTAAAACACTAACTTATCATTACGAGATAATAAATGCTTTAACCTCGAGTCCTTTTTCGCTTTAAAGTTTTGGGCAAGTGGAAATATTGTTTGGGCAAGTAAATTGAAAACCCACTTGCCCGACAGGGCAAGTGGTGAAAAAAATTCTTGTAGCACCCTGAAAGGATAACTCTATTATACCTAGGAGCATGGCTGTATCCTGTACACATGTCGTCATAGGGCCTGCTACAGACACTGTACGACAGAGGGGCATGGTGCCGTGCCGTGACCAACGCCCATGGGTCGGCTTCAATCCCACAATGCCACACAGCGTAGAAGGGATGCGCACTGAACCACCTCCATCTGTTCCTATGGCGATGGGGCACAGACCTGTAAAAAGACAGTGTAGGAGAAAACAATAATACAAAAGATAACCTACAGCAAGTACAAGTCTTTTCAGCCTCAATAATTTGGAATATACGTCCACTGATACAATTACAGATACCTTGTACTCAAAATCTCTTTTTTTAAATTTTAATTTATTAATTCAATCCATATTTCTTTTCCTCTCATTTGGTATAACTCCACTCTAGGGGAATATAGGGGTTTCCTACACATCACCTCCTTAGGTAATGCAATCCTGGTTCACTACATTTGCAGACAGGTTTAATAAACTGGAGATGTAGCATGGGGTCAGCCATTGAGAGGGCACCAGAGTCAGAGGAGGAGGGATGGGGGGCTGAATCAGTCTTAGATCAATCAATGCAGAATGTGAGACAAGAGGAATTCGAGTGGGGAAGGGGTGGAATCATTTTGTTGTTACTGCTAACTTCACCCTTTTATTTCTTTCTCTGTCTGTCCCTTTTTGTTCTTCTTGCCATTCAGTTGGGGAAGGGAAGGCAGAGAAGGGGGCAGGGGTTTCCCCCAAGCCCTTGGGTGCACTAAAATTCTACTACTGGACCTACATGCAGCCACACATAACCCTGAACCAGATTAACTTCCTCCTTAAGGATCCTTTCATTCCCCTTTAATTTCCTACTCCACCCTCCCTGCCTCCTCTTCCACACCCCCTGGGTGCCATCCACATTCACTCATTCCCTGAAAGGTGCAACGAAACACCAGACCTACCGGAAGCAATACATGCCCCCGAACAAGATGAACTACATGCACCTACATGATAATGCAAGGGTTACTGATTCTTTCATCCCCACTCCCCCCCCCCCCTTGCTCTCCCTATCAAACCCGTAGATGCCATACACATTCAGTCATCCCCCGACAGTTGCAAGAAAGTTCCAATGAGAATACTGGACCTACCAGCAGCCACACAGGCCCCTGAACCAGATGAACTGCCACCGGGGTAATGGTGAGGGTTGTAAGGATTGCGTGCAGTACCACTCCTGAAAACATGGAAGACAAATGGATGATACACTTTCAAAAAACTCGCATAACTTCATGAATTTCAATTTTTCATGAAACTGATAACATAACATTTTTCAACCTTCGCAATTATAAAACTTTGCTGATTTGCAGATCTCTTATTACTATGGACATGCATGTCATTCACTTTGATAGCCTCTCTTCTCTTATTTTAACAAAAAATCAACACATTTTTTTCTTCTAAAACCAATCCTTCTCCTTTCAAGTATTACCTTTGAAAAGACTACCTCAATGCTTACTTTTAGACACTCATACTATATTTAGAAAATGTTAAACCCACTATCCCACATCATATTTTGGTCTTTTGCCTGAATTTCTTGTTTCGTTCCTTGATCACTCTTCTACATAAACTGAAGCGCATGTAACTTGACCATATACAGGGCCCCATTTCACATAACTTGTCATCAGTGACAAATGACAGTTTTTGTTATAAGCTACTGAAATCCTTGCTTCTGATTGGTTATCAGCAGATTTGACACTGATTTTTGTCACTTGTCATTGCAAAAAGGTTTTGTAAAACACTGGTGTATCTGTACTAGATTCTCTTCTATATGTTGAAGTGCAATAGCTAAAATGATTCTCATTTGGTTCAAATGTGATTCTTATGTCTAATGTCATTTTTATTTTTTGATGTTTTGACTTACGCACTGATGTTCATACCGGTGACGCCCAGGCCGACTTCATGCATGTTAGCTACCCCTATGATCACAGCGCCCCCGGCACGCAGCTTAGCTGCTATAGTAGACTCCTCCTTCACAGGGTCACGACCCAGGAACGTGGTTCCGCTACGAAGATGGTATGGTTTCTGGTGATTCAAACAAAACAGGGGGACTGCATATTAGATCATACTAAGAAACAGTTAGGTTTCTAGACATAAAATACAACTTCAACTGTACAATGCTTGACAGGATTGAGTGAAGCTGAAATTCTGATAAATGGAAATAAAACCATTTTTCTAATCATGAATAGTCAGTACTATAAGAGAAGTAAAAATGAGGTCAATATGTTTTAAAAATTCCTTCAAACAAAAAAAGAAAAGTGAGGAGAAAAGTAGTGAAATTCTACATTTTCAAAAATCAATGTCACCTCCCCCCACCCCCTCCCCCCCCCCCTCCCAACCCTCTTTATAAAATGTTTAGATAACACATAGAAATGAAAATTGCAATGGTCCTTGTTAACAATAAGTAATTGGCAATATTTTCTAATTAAAAAAAAAACTGACAGCAAAAAGTACAAAGATAGGCTGCTCTAGATTGTTTTTAGGAGGATATATTGAGCATCAATCACTAATCTTGATTTCATTTAACCCTTTGCTTACGGGAACCTGGTGGTCCCTGTGTTAAGCCTATGGGACTTATACAATTCAGGAGTCAACAGGTTAATAACTCACGACAGCTAATTCTTCCTTGATGACAACAGGTATCCCATCAAAGATTGAAAGAGGCTTCTTATTATTGATCCGTATAGTTGATTCCCTTGCCATCTAAGGAAAAAAAGAAAGAAAAAACTAAATTAATATTTTCTATCTAGATCTAATATCTGAGACACAAAAATTAAATGGAAAGTTTGATTCAATTTCAATTCAATTTCAATTTAATCATGTTTCCAACAAAACATTACAAATCAATTCTAAACATTTACAACAAATGTAGAAATACATGTTGGAAACAGAGGGGTCCACTAAAAAGCAATGCTTGTACATGTGTGAACATCTCAAATGATACTTGATAGGTTTGGTTATCTAAAATTATTGAAACATAAAAGCCAAAGCACATGCAAATTAATTTATATTTTGACCAGTTGAGAAAGAGAACATTTCAAATTTTTGATCATAAAGATCATACTAGCAATGTAGGACACAAGAAAGAGGTTCTAAATACACAACAAATTCTTGTTACTATCAAGATGTATGGAGTGTTACAAACCTTATAAACATCCTCAACATCATATTCTGCTAGCATTCTCATCCTAGGTTTCATTTGTTCTGTCTTCTCCACGTCTTCCATAACACACTCAGCTATATCTTCTGGAGTCACCTTACCTGACCTAGGAAAAAAAATTGATTCAATTCAGTTCAATTCAATAAGGCTTTATTCAAAATGACATGCTTACAGCCGAAGCTGAATTCCATGGTCATTTACAAGGTAAAATACATGTACATCATAATGGTTAAAATAAAGAATTATACATGTTAAGTTTTATTGTAAACATAAAAGAATGACATATCAAAGGATTTAAATACATTCATACGCATAATAGGCAGCATCATTAAACATAAAAATATATAAAACGCATGAACCTTACTTTTTTAATAATAATCATATAAGATACGAACAAAATAGGGAATAGAGCTATTCTTGAATCGATAAATGATATACCACATTGTATGTTTTGACACTAATTCATATGAATTGCACATACATGTATATGGACATGTTTGTGGAGAAACTTCTACAGGTCAAATGCAAAGCCCATTTTAAACATTGAATTACCGGTTAATGATTATAGTTACGGGCAAGCTCTAAAGTGAGGTTTTTTTTTATACTTTTCTAAATGTTTTAGCAAGAAATTTTATTACTTATAGTTTTCATATCCCATGTCATAAAACTGACATTGAAGGTGTATGTGTATATTGTTAGAAATCTTATACATATTCATGTATGTCAATGTTTATTATGGGCATGCGCAGAGGACTGAATTGTAAAAGTGGTGATTTTTTTAATTAAAAAAACCTATTAAAGCCGTCTGCAGGTATTTTATCACTTTTGTTTATAATTCATGCTGCGGTTACTATTGTGTGGTTATGAATTTATGATATGATTTTTAAAATATAATGCAAACAGCATACTATTCATAACAAAATTGCAGTCTCATGTACATGTATATAATAAAGTGCACCATCTGGCCAAGTTTCGGTTCACACAGCACATGAGAATTGAACTTCCTTTCATTTTGTATACATGTCAGGGCTTAAATTAATCCAAGGCCACCAAGGCCATGGCCTTGGATGCCCCTGTGGTTGGCCTTAATGCCCCTCTCATTGGCCTTGGAGATTTTTTGTGCCCTTCCCAATTGTTCCCATTTGTGCTGTAATATAGGAATGTGCCCTACAGAAAAGTGGCCTTGCCCTAAATATGATGAAATTTAAGGCCTGCATGTACTGTACATGTACATGATAAAAATCACAAGAATTACTAAGTACCGGTAATTAAAAGTAACCTCATATAAAAAGATATAGAAATCTCAAATTACAGGAACGTGATCGAATAATAAAATGAACACATGTTTTGATCATCTATGAAATGGCACAAAATACTCTAGTCTTGTGATTTCAAACAATAAGGTAATACTAATAGATCCTTGACTGTTCAAAGGGCATTTGGCTAAAATACAATTAAAACCACAAAAAAGACAAACATAATATGATACCAAATTATTAGAGACTCTTTATATTACTGTGCAAACATTTCAAAGTCCCACTAAGAAGACAACCCACTTGGGGTATCCGTAACCATAAAATGACCATCAACGACTAATACTTTATTTGCTTTATACAGGTATATAGTTCAGGAGTAACGTGGTAAACTTGAAGATCAAAGTGCAATGTAACTTGAATGTAGGTGTTAGGAAAGATTCAAGACGTACAGGTCTATGATAAAGAAACGCATAATAAGAACAGCCCTTTTTAGTGCATAGTACAAGTAGGCCTACAGTAAACCATTTTTTTCCTCCAATGTTGACTATATTCCTTGTCAGGTCCATCATTAGTTTCATGATAAATACAAATTTTCAAAGAAATTTTCTTGTTCAAGAGTAGAAATCAAATATTCAGGATTAATAGTGTATTGACAGCCAAGACGACTGAACACGACGTTTGATGGAGTGGATTGTAAGGAAACAATACATAAATCAGAATTAGAAACACCAAGAACAAACAAAAAATACTCCAAAAAAATATAGGTATTAATTTAAAAAATCAGATTGTTTTTGTGCTTGAGTGGGCAAATTAACACCAATGAACACATTAATAAATTATTATATTTACCTATAAGCATGATAGAAGTCCGAGACTGTTCTGAACTTAAAATCATGGCTTTCTTTCCTCTCTGGTTGAATGAGATAATTTAAATCAATCTCTAGCGGATTTCTTGCTTCACTAGGTTCACTGGCAGGCATTACTGGTTCATATGTGGGGTGATCCTCTATCACATAATTGTGGAGCATATTGTAGTGAAGTGCTCTGTTTGAAAAGGAAAGAAAAAATATGCATTTCAAACAAACAAAAATTAGTGACCAAAAACATTTCCCAAATTGATTTCTATATAAAGGTCCAGTAAATTTTGATCCCTTTTTTGCTCATCCCCACTGCTTGTTTTTATTTTCTATACAGTGAAAACTCATGACGAGAATATAGAGGATCGAAACGAGAATATAAAGTATCGAACTGCTAACATCACACTCGCTCGTCGTCCAGCTTACTGGTTCTAAACAACATAGCCTGTGCATGAGGTTCATCACAAATTAGGGCAGGAGCAGAGCAAATTTATTGTTTGGGGCTGGTATGATATAATCACCACACCATTGTTTAGCACAAAAATGTTTGGAACCAGCAACCTTGACAACTTGGCCAGTATGACGTCACAATTTGGTACTTTTGGGGACCATAAAAATAAACCTTGTTCTATCAATGAAAAAGACAAAAGAACAAGAGGAGGTGGGACCAGAGAAAAACTCAATCCTTCATGTCGGACCTTGTTTGTATCTTGTCATAGCAGAGATGTTTATAACAAATTTCCATCGTGAAATTGTTTTTGCATAGAGTAAATTTTGGTTCCTCTCTTTAATCCTCATGATAATTGTATTCCTCATGTAAAAAATGAAACAACAAGAAGTTGAAGTTAATAAGAATTAACATGAATAAACATTTATTTGACAGCACAAATAGGATCTTTGGAGAATACTTCTTAAAACTGATGATAAAACAGACTTCACTAGTTTATGTTCCTTCCCTTCATCTGATTCTGAAATAACAATTAGTTACTGACGTTATTTTAATAGGTTATAAAGATCATAACACAATGTTCATTTATGAGTTTCTCCAAGAGACTGTATAATTGCTATAAATCTGATGATGATTCGATGTACAGTACTTGTATTTATGATCCTTTATCTGTCTCATTATACCACAGTTTTCATGGAATGGAATGGAATGGATTGGTATGGAGTACAATGACGCGAGATATACTCCAATCATTAAAGCTAGTAATTCCCTTAGAAACCTTTGTCCAGACTTTTTCTTTGTTGTTGACCTCGCTACATAAAGGGCTTTGAGAGGGCCTGCAGTAATGAAAAGCGCTTTATACAGTGTAAGAACAAACTATCATTATTACTATTACATGAGCCACACTGATTTTCAAACCTGTATAATCAAAACTTAAACCTGTTGCTGTTATTTGTTTTAAAACCCCTTGTGGACCGTCCAGGTCAATCTTTGCTTTTTTAGGTTTTACTGAAAAGTACACAAATGAGAAAAGAGGCAGAGGCAAAGAAAGGCAGGCAAAGGGAGAGAGATTGGAAAGGGGAAAGACAAAATGAGGAAGACAAGCAGATGTTGTACCAAGAGGGGAAGGTGAATGCAGAAGCAGATATAAAAGATTTACCTTTTGGTTTTAGGGTTGAGAATCAATCTGCCAATCCACTGTTGAGACATAAATAAATGAAAAATAAAATTATTTCAGATAATTAAATCATAACAATATTTCCAGAAAATTCTGATTTCTAAATTACAATTTTTTTTTTACTAGATTTATTATAATCCCCATCAGTTCAGGCATGCTATGATTTTGACATACATTATGAATACATTATGAATTGCAGGAAATCAATAATGATTTAATACTGTAAGATATAAAAGAGATCCAATAGAAAATGAAGGCATTGTGAGATACTGTACATAGCCCTTGATTAATTCTCTCTATATCCACATGTATCCCTCTAGATTTGCCCCCTCCCCCTGCCCTCTTCCCCCACTGTTCAACACTTCTGGAATTTAAAAAAAAAGTTTCTGCAATTTTTCTTGAGCCCTGAAGGTCACCTTGACAAGTTGGTAATATTGTGCATAAGTTGATAATTGTCCCATGTATGCCTTACATACTCCCTACATAATACTGTCTTGTGTTCAATGAGCGCTCTTATTTCTTACAATCTTTTTTTTTTGTAAGAAACTTTACAATCAGGATCTAAGTGATGTTTCTGCTCCCATAACTAATAATAAGAGTCCAATTACAGGATTTACAGTGCTGTGGTATGGGTGTAAACACTTTGAGGCAAGAGTCTCATGAGGTATAGATTAAACTTACCCAGACATTTCATGAGGAAGGAGGTTGTATCTAGGGTCTCACCTTCCCTTCACTTTGCCTTTCCTCTTCCACCTTCTCTTATTTCTATCTACATGTACATGTATCTCAAATAATCTCCCTCCTTTAGCCTCCTTCACACCCTGTCACTCTCCCTCCACCCCTTCCACCCTAGACCCTCCCTCCATCCCTCAATCCCTACCTCTCTCCTTCCTCCCTCCTTCCCCCTCCTTCCTTTAATACCTCCCTCTCTTTCTTCCTCCCTCCCTCCTCCCCCTTCATTTCTCCTTCCCCTTCGATCTCTCCCATCTCTAATCTCTAGCTCTCCCTCCCTCCACCATCCTTTTCTCTCCCTCTTCTTTTAATTATTACAACAATATGACAGGTTGCACACACTTACCGTGTTTGAAAGGTGACGTACAAATCTCAGAAGGTTACCGGAAGATCGAAGGGGTATGGTCTGAAATGAAAAATATTAGAAAATTCTCTCTTAATTACACAATATATCCAGGCAAATAAGTGAGCAAGCCAGAAAGGATAATATATCTATTATTTGTAGATCTAATTTGTGTTACATATATATTGCATTATAATAACCCAACACCAAGATCACTGCTCTTGATGTTGTCATATGCATTAATTTCACCTCCCCTCCCCTGCCACTCCCCCTGCCCCTCCCCTTCCAAATTTGTTGACTATAGACTATATGAAACTTCTTGTTTGGAAAAGACAAAACAATACTTGTGTGTAAGTCACTTCATGTTAAAGAACATCAGCAATGCAGTGCTCACATTCCGGAGCTGTGATCATTCGGAAGAATTATATATGATGTTTATCACATATAAAATTCAGTGGGATAGCACTTTGATTATTGTCACTGACTGTCACTGAGCTATTTATGAAATTATATTTTTTGTGTTTTTTTTTCATTTAAAAATTATAATGAAAACGATGAAAACAAAGTATACAGAACAGTGCAGTCAGAAGTAAAGAAAATACGGAGAAAATATATCAATATTTGATTCCAATTAATTATTTAGGTAGAGGTCTATAGATCTACTCCGATTGCACATGGGCAAGGTCGGGCAGTGATCATTCTGAGATCCGCCTATATCAGCGGTTTCGTAGAAATGTCTGGTCGGCTAGACTGGCGTGAACCACCATCCAACCTCCCGTAACTTACCGCTCGAACCATGTTGTACTCGTAGTTCTCCGGTGTCAGTCTGCGTCTTCTGATCAGCTTACCAGGTTTGGTAGCTCTTCTTACAAAGAGTAACCAAAACACAAAGGCTCCTGAGAATATACCAAACAGCGACTGGACGTACCCCATGGTTGTCTAAACTTTCTGACTTATTTCACTGCCTAAAATCGAAGAGCGATTGGAGGCAGAGCTCACAAAAACCCATACCATACGAGTAACAGGGCAGTGATCAAATTCAATGGTAGGTCATCTTCATAGCTAGCTAGCTGTGTGAATGCGTGCATGCATCCAGAGAGCTCACCTCCATGGTGCGACGTGGGTGCTGTCCGGAGTTAACCCTGGGACATGAAAGAGGGAGGAAAGGGGGAAAGGGAGGAAAGGGGGAAAGGGGGGGGGGGGGGGGAGAAAAAAGGAGGGAAAAAAAGTAAAACCGTTTTAAAACGGCGCCATTTTTTGAAAAATCCTGGATCCACCACTGAGTCAAACCTCGGCCCCCTAGGCAAAAAGCTAGATCCGCCCCTGCCGAGGGTTACTCACAAGACATACACGGGAGTGCGCATTGCCGCTCTAAAGGGTAACTTTTTCACAAAAAATCCCTAAACACAGGTCCCATTTTTTAACAACAATTCCCCTAAATATGGGTCCGGTTATTTTTCAAAATTTTCACGATTTTGAAAAATGGCCTTTACTTGAATAAAAATCCTTCAAAATGATCCTTTAAAATGGGTATGGGTTTCGAGGCTTCCGACAGCGGCACACCCCCGTCAAAACCAAATCCCCCCCCCCCCCCCCCTCCCAGGAGTGGGCTACTTATTAGGCCTACCGGCACTGGCGTACCTTAGGGGGGCAAGGGGGGCAGAGTGCCCCCCTGATGAGGTCCAGGGGGAAAACAAAGGAAAAGGGGGAAGGGGAAAGGAAAAGAAGTGGGAAAGAGAAACAAAAGGGGAAAGAAAAGAAAAGAAAGGAAAGGAAAGAAAAGGAAAAGGGAAAAAAAGAAAGAAGAAGAGAAGAAGAGAAAAAGAAGAAACAGGGAAAAGATAAGGAAAGAAAAAAAATGGGGAAATTATTTTTAAAAAGACCCGCACGGCCGTACGCACCGGGGGGAGGCAGTTGACCCCAGATAATTTGAAAACGTACAATTTTTTACCTGAAAATGTTTAACAAAGCTCCCAAATAGTGAAGGCCTGTACCAAATCCTTCAATTCTACTTTTGAAAATGCAAAAGTACCCTCATGACCAATTTGGTCGCTCGAACTCCCTTCACTCCTTTTGCTTTTGAGTTTCTTCAAAAACTTTTCATGCATCTTTCCCCCTCCCCCATCAGAAAAATATTCCGCATACGGCAAAGAAAAAGACAAATGAAAATAGGAAAATATAAGTAATAATTATATCGCAGCTGCAGCAGGGCTGGCTCGAGCTGCTTGCTAGCCTGTTTTGTATTAATTGTTTTCACCTGCTCGTCCCCCTGAAAAAAGAAAAGGATTAGCATTGACTAGAATACAATTGTGTCTGCCCCGACTGGCCCCAACCTGCAACCATGGCAACCATAACACCCAAGTTATGTACCAAATGTTACTAAAAGAGATTAATTCATTTTTTTCTCGCTCGCGAATAAATGAAATAGACATTACTTTGAAAACAATTGTGCCCACCCTTGACCTGCAACAATATCATTATCATTGGAATTGTTTTTTCGCCCTCTCGCCAAAAAGGAATTTATATCGTGTTAACGCGATTGCGCCCATCCCGACCTGCACCAATAAAAACAAGTTTATGTATTAATTTCTATTAAAAGAGAATTTTTTTTTTGCATCGCTATGCTCGCTCACCAAAATGGAATTGACATTTCTAACAAAATACGTGCGCCCCTTTGCCTGCAACGAAAATCCCAGTAAATAAGTACCGAACGTTATTTTGAGAGATATTGTTTCCTCGCTCGCCAGAATTGATGAATTGATTGATTTTAGTGATATGTGAGTTGATTTGTTTTTTGTTTTACCCTCTCTTGCTACGCTGTCTTTACAATTAACATGCTCACCCCAACCTACAACAAATTACTAGTTGATAATTATGTACCAGACGTTAATCAAAGAAAATTTGGTTTGCTCGCTAGCTAGGCTCCCTCGCCAATATGGAATAAACATCACCTTAAACATGATTGTGCAAGCCCCGACCTGCAACAAAAAACCTGACAATTATACACCAATCATCATTAATTTTGTTTTGCCTGCCCACCAAAATTGGATTGACATTGGCTTAAACACGATTGTGCCCACCCGACCTGCAACAATGAAACAAAGTTTATGTACCAATTCATTGAGGACAATTGAACCAAGTTTAATTGGTAATTATTAAAAAAGAAGCGATTTTTTTTTCTTGCTCGCTACGCTCGCTCGCCAAAATGAAATTAACATCGCTAACGTGCCCGCCCTAACCTGCAACAACTAGTTAATAATTATGTACCAAACATTATTCAAAGAAGTTTTGGTGTGCTCGCTCGCCAAAACGGATTAAACATCACCTTAGACATGATTGTGTAAGCCCTGACATGACCTGCAACAAAAAACACTGAAATTTATGAACCAATTATCATTACAAAAATTGTGCTCGCTCGCTACGCTCGCTCGCCAAAATAGAAATAACATCGCTTTGAATAATCACGTCCCTGACATGGATCAATGAAATCAAGTTTATGTAACATGTTCTCACCGTAGAGAAGTGATTTTTTCAACAACTAGTTAATAATTATGTACCAAACATTATTCAAAGAAGTTTTGGTGTGCTGATCGCTCGCCAAAACGGATTAAACATCACCTTAGACATGATTGTGTAAGCCCTGACCTCCAACAAAAAACCTGAAATTTATGAACCAATTATCAATACAAAAATTTTGCTCGCTCGCTACGCTCGCTCGCAAAATAGAAATAACATCGCTTTGAATAATCACGTCCCTGACATGGATCAATGAAATCAAGTTTATGTACCATGTTCTCACCGTAGAGAAGTGATTTTTTCGATCGCTCGCTACGCTCGCTAGCTCGTGGAATTATGTGCCCGCCACTGACATGCTACAATATCATTAAAAGAGAAATGTAGGGGGGGGGGGTTGCCTGCCCGCCAAAATGGGAATGAAATTGCCTTAAACACGATTGTGCCCGCTCCGAATTGTAACAATAAAACAAGTTTTATAAAGAAATTCATTAAGAGAAAGGTGTATTTTCGCTCGCTAGATAAAAAGGGTATAAAATTACCCTAGACACAATATTGTTCCCGCACCCGGAATGGGACAATATTGGACCAAGTTTAAGTGGCAATTATTAAAAAAGAAGGGATTTTTTTCTTGCTCGCTACGCTCGCTTGCAACAATGAAATTAACGTGGCTAGCAAATGAATGTGCCCACCCCAGACTTGCAACAATACCGGTTTATATACCAAACGTTACTTAAATATATTTTTTTGCCCGCTCGCTCGCCAGAAGTGAAAATTAGCATCGCCTTTTTTGTTTTGTTTCGATCGCTTGCCCCCACTGACGGAGTACCCCAGATACGCCACTGCCTACCGGTACTTACCGGTACTTAATTATACTAAAAGCCCGGCCTTGAGAGCAATTATTATAAAAAAGTGCGTCCCATTGTCACGTCGAAAATAGTTGCGTTCGTGTCTCAATCCAACAAAATTTATATCCCTCTTGAGATATCCAATTTGTTTCTTGTACTACTCTCCCCCTCCTTTTTGCCCCTCCCCCACCTTTTATCTCTCTCCTCTCAGTAGTTTCTACCACATTGTTTCTTTCCTCTCTCTTTGTCTCCACTGATTACTTTTCTAACCTTCTCTCTGTCCACTCTTTCCCTCTTTACTTCTTTTTCCCTCTCATGATCGTCTACATCTCTCTCTCTTATTCTTCCTGTTACCCAATCAATTTATCTCTAAACCTCTCTTCTTCTTTTTTAAGTATCCCTAGCTTTTTTTAATTACTTATCTCTCCTTCCACCCTCTCTGTTGTTTCTTTTTCCTCTAAGTGCATCTTATTTCAGCATCTTCTTTTTTTCTCCTTTAGTTACCCCCTTGACCCCTTTCTCTCTCTCTCTCTATTGCTCTCCCTATTTCTCTCTCTCTCTCTCTCTCTCTCTCTCTCTCTCTCTCTCTATGTCTCACTTTCTCTGTCTCTCTCTCTCTCTCTCTATTTTCCCCGCTTGCTTTATCTTCTCTCTATTTCTCTGTCTCTTTCGCTCTCTCTCTCTCTCTCTCTTTCTCTCTCTCTCTCTCTCTCTCTCTAACGTTTATTAATACAGATAGACCTCTAGATTGAAAAAATGATGATTTGTTAGTTAGATTTCTCTTTTTATCTCATGTTGAAAATATCATTGCTGAATGTTCAAAAATATTAATGTGATATTCACATATACTGTACTACATAATGTAAGTTCACATCTTAAAATTACAGAATATCCAGCCTATCGATAAGTGGATTGTTAAAGGGCAAATATTAAAGGAAATATTCAAAAATTATCAACTACCGGTACAAGGGATATCTCAAAGTAAAACATCTTCTCCAATTTTATTGACTGAACAGGTTTTTTTCTTCTATGATACATTATAGTTAATACATTTGTTGTGATGTCTTTCTGAGGAAAAAAATGCCTTTTCCACATAAAGAATTGAAAGAAAAAAATTGTACGAAAAGTATATTGGGTACAAAACAGTTACGAGGGTTCATCATGTTTGACATCGCACATTATGACTGCAATTACAACAGGAGATAGCTATCAAAATAATTATGTGATAACTTCTTTTGACAATTTATAATTTCCATATGCTTTGTCAAATATTTCTGAACTCTACCTGAAGCCAAATAACTATAACGGAACAATACCCCTGGCAATTCCTATTTATAATTGGAGTGAATGCATGACTTATGACTTCACAATTCACAATTCACGTTTCACAGTCTGTATGGGCAGGTAGAAGGGGGTCATCCGCTATTTATAAGGACGGCTATTTATAAAAGACCGCTATTCATTTAGTCACGCATTATGCATAGTGGTCCTTATGAATGGCAGTCCTTATACTGTAAATAGCGAGGTAAATTGGCTATGGTTTGCTCGCTAATTGTTAGGCTACTAATTGTAAGGGTCGCTAATCATAAAGGATCGCAAATCATTTTGTTACGCGTTATGGATAGCAGTCCTTATGAATAGTGGTCCTTATGAATAGTGGTCCTTATGGATAATGAGCTTGACCCGGTAGAAGTGTTTTACCTGTACATATGAATATCATGTACTTTGTATTAAAGACACCCATCTCTATGGGACTTTAGTACACTTTACAGCATAATTTTCAATGACAGTATTCACAGGGTTCAAGTCCTTCCACAGAAAATTAATAAGCTATTGCCAGCTCACCACATAGACTACAAATAACCTCATCTTTAAATAACATCAATAAGTACAATGGGGTTTTATTAATTTACCAATCAAATAAAATTCATATATTATTCATCTTAATCTGTCTCTAGCTCTAGCGTCTTCCCTTACAAAGAAAGCATTGGACAACCTAGTCATAAAAGAAGAGAGGCTTTGAAACAGTCTGCTTGCCATCAACGCTACTTCATCCTCTACAACTACTTCCTGTCTCTCCTTGATATTACTTCTGGTGAGGGCTTCTCCTTTCTGCTCCAATTTAGAATATTCATCCAGCACTTTGGTTATTTCTTTTTCTGGTTGGATGTGGACCTTCTGGAGTTTGATGATCGGAACAATCAGGTTAAAATCGTTGACTCTTCTGTTGATCTGTTTTATCTTCTCACTGAACTCAAACTGAAGATCCGCCCACTTCCTTACATTGTAGTCATTCAGAGGTTCCGGGCCAAGCTTTAGGCGCTCACGCAAGAGAGCGTTTTTGTCCTCACGGAGCATGTTCCGGATGTCCTTTTCTAGTTGGATCCATTCGGGGGCGTAACCATTGTTGACGAGAACCTCATTCAGATTGTGTGTGGCTGAATCCACAAAAGGGCAGTAAGCTGTTTTAGGTGGGAGGGGTTTCCCCATACCCGGGAGATCATCAAACTCTCCTTTAGCCATGGAGTCCTGGATCAAATCCTCCACAAGCCTCTCAATGACGTTTGTTGTTCTTATCTTCCTTGCAGCTTTCTTATCCTTCAGCACCAGACCTTTCTCATCGGTAACGGCGATCTTATAAATCCTCTGAGTGCTTACGGCATCGGATGCCTTCATGGCTCGGTAATACTGATACTGCTTCTGCCGTTGACTGGGCGTGCCAAACCCTATTCCCTCGTACTCCAAATACTGCCGATGTTGAGGCACGGTGTGCTTGATGTCGAAGTCACACTCATCATCTTCCTCTTCCTGCGATAGGTCATCTTCCAGTCCCTCCCGTCTCCCTTGTTTCTCCATCTTCTCCACATGGAGGCAGATGCTATTGTATGCTTGCTGGATCTGGGTGAACTTGTTTCCATCGGCCTGTTTGCTTTGGCTATCTGGATGGTAAACCTTGGCCAGCTTGAAGTACGCCTCCTTGATCTCCACCATGCTGCTCTCCTCCGTCACGTTCAAGAGCTGGAAGCAGTCTTTCACATTATCACTGATCTTGTAGCCATGGTAAGCAGAACTTGTGTGAAAGGAACTAGCCCTTGACCACATCTGACTCAGAAGTCTTCTGTGAGAACACAGCACCAGACCTGCCATCTCAATCTCAAGCGTGGTCCATTCAATATAATCCTGCCCTTGAAATGCTGGAACGAAAAACAAAAAAGGTATAGATGATATAATAAAGCTATACATTTGTACAGGTCTACAGGATATCCTCTATTCATTTGTGTTCATATTTACAGGCCTTTTAACACATCTCAGAATTTGGATCTTTACTCTGTCTAGATCTATTCAAACTTTTTTCTTAGTAAGCCACATATTCTTATTCTTAAGGCAAGGACTTTATAGGGGAGTCTTATGTCCACAACCAGAAATATTCTATCTGAAATTTAGAAAGAAAAAAGATTATGTTTGAGATATTCATTTGAGAATGACAATGATGCTATTCTTGGTATTATTAGAAGTTCTACAAACTCAACAAAGTTTGTGCAAAAGCAATTGGATTTCCACAAGAAAATACAGGCATGTGACTTGAAGGTGGGGTTTTGTTGCTATTTAGACCGAAAGCTTCAGTCTCTCTAATCGTCGGTTGTTCCACTGAGACTACGTCTGGCTCCACTAGACCTCCGATTATAGAGACTGAAGTCTGGGGACCTCTTTCTGTGAGGCACTGTACGGAACAAATGGTTCGGTTCGACCGGACCGCGATGAATGAGATATGCAACGAGATTTTCACTCTTTACATCCTCATACATGCTGCAATATGACAATAATTTAGAGTCTAATTAAAAATAACATATATATAGCTTATTTGACTTACGATAGCTTGCTCATTTAGATCCTAAATTAATGATTAATCCAAGAAAGTCTCGTCGTCAACATTATCCATCTTGGTTTTAGTTGATGAATATTCATTTTTTCTTTTCGAACGTCCAATAGCTACCGTAGCTACGTACGAGTCGGCCCAGCTTGACCAACGAACTCCCACGAAACGAGTGCTCTGATTGGCCATTTGGCTATGTTTTGGTAGGTGGACCCGGAAATATATCGGCCGCCGGGTATTATTTTGAATGCATGAACGTACCGTTTCACAGTTCGGAAATACAAATTGGATAATTCATATAAGTAAGTCCGTAAATTATACATTTAATATTAAGTTATCAAATTTTGATAACTATAATTAGGACAAATGACATACCGACCTAATTTACATCTGATTTAGAAATCAGAAAATTAGATCTAAATAAAGAAAATCGGGGGAGAAATGTCGGTAACGAAAAGCTGTTCCGCTGTGGCTCTAATTTACCCCCACGGTACGAGATCTCTGGGTTGCCATCTGTATTGGGGAATGACAACAAATGTCAGTTTTATTAAAGAAATGACCCAAATCAGATGGTTATTGCTGTCTAGTTGCTATTATATACTCATCATGTTAATACTCACCTCTTTTCCCTATTATATCTATGTAACATATGTTTTATGGACCTCTGCCTTGTGCAGCTGAGTCTGAAATAAATTTCTGAATTGAATTGAATTGAATTGTATTGAATTGAATGCTACCACTGCTGTAAATGCATTTTCAATTGCATTCAGTGAAGGTGTAGTACTAGTAGTACATAGACTTCCGTTCTGGCCCATGTACATTGTACCAAATCAACATAGACTCTAGATCTAATTGATTCCCAATTCAAAGTCACGACCTACACAGTAGTAAAACAAGATTGACAATAGACTGCATTTGCAATCTTTGCCTGTAACTTGTGCATGATAAGCCTTGCCCCTGACTGACCACGAAACAGATTGACGTTTATCTGCAACGGTACTATATGAAGGCCTCCATCAAAATCCAACTAAGCAGAGCGCCGGGACCGCCGGTCTGGAATTCCACAGAAATCCCTTGGCTTTGCCACTGCTCCCCTTACAGCCGAGTGATCGATGTTGAGCGGAGGTGTCAAAGAAACAGATCTTAAGCTACTAAATGTAAATTCAAACTTCTTCTATTTATGTGGAAGAGATTTCTTACCTTCCGGAACACCTCCTGAATCCACCAGAGTTTCTGGACACAAATAAGGAGTTTTATAAGAAAGAAAGCCAGCTGGTACAGCAGGTCGATCGGCCGGTGTGACCGCGCCGTTTGTCCTACCAGTTTCGTGTGTCCGTCGGACATAACATGCGGGTTTTCTGCTCGCACCGATCGTCCGAGGGAAGATCTGTGCGGTTTGCTTTCCGCACAGTCTGTCCTCATATTGTTTTACGTGTATATTTGATAAAAGGAAGCAACTCGGTAAATCATGTGGTAGACATTTTTTCTAGAAATTACATAATAATAACTCTTTACAATTTTTTTAAAGCAAATGGGCCAGTCCTTTTGAAAGTAGAAGTGAATATTTTATTTAAAACCTTTATTCTATGAATATCGGTCCCACAACTGTTGTAATCGATTATACTTTTGTACGTGGCTTCGTTCTTCAACCAACTCACTACTAGTATATACTCGTGATCCAGGCCCCGCCCCCAAGTATTTGGGGGCCTTTCAAGGTTTAATGAAGGAGTTAAATGGGAAATAAAAGTGATTAAAAATGTGGTTGAAAGTGAGTGGGGGAGGCTAGAGTATTTAAGATAAGTTAAAGCGTAGCCCAAATTGGCGGATGCTCAGGGGGTAGGGGCATTTAATTACGGTCAGGTAAGCATATTTTAATACCTTATTCATGACACTAGCAGGTCACTAATTGGCGTATGGTCCAAGGGGCGGTGCCCCCGGAAGCGCAAGGGTTTTAGGCATTAAAATTACGGTCAGATGAGCATCCAGGGGCCAGCCTTAGGGCACAAGGTGGGGTCCAGGGGGCAGAGCCCCCGGAAGCTCAGGGGTATGGGCATTTAATTACGGTCACATGAGCATACTTTCTTTTCTATTTCTTTCTATTTAATTATCTTTAATATACTTTTTCAAAAGTGTGGGGGGGGGGGGGCTTGAGCCGCCGTTCCACATGACCTGAAAAGTATTGTTTCCCTGATCCGTATATAGGACAAGGCCCTGGGGCAGCTAGCCATAATCCGATATTTGGGTTTGAGGGTACTCAGACATCTCGCATATCATTGACCCCCAAAAATATATTTGGTGGATCTCGGATATCATTGAAACCCCCAAATATTTTGGCGGGACTCTGATATCATTGAGCCCCCCCCCCCCATATTTTGGTGGGGCTCAGATATCTTTGAGGCCCCCCCCCCATATGTTGGTGGGGCTCAGATATCACCCAATTGTTTTTTGTGGGGGCTCGGATAACATCACGGAGCCCCCCCCCCCCGATATTTTGTGAGGGGCTCGGATATCATTGCGCCCCCCCCCTGGCATATTTTGGCCGGGCTCGGTTATCATTATCATTATAGATTGGTGCACATCATTATGCTTGATCATCCTCTCCTATCTGTTTGTTTTCATTCCTCTTTTAGTCATCCTTTATTTGCTACCTATGATATTTGATAAATACCTATTATGCAAAATAAACTCTGGAGGTTTAAAGTTGTAAAGTCCAGGGCAGTTCAACACACGCAATCATGAAAAAAGGATGTCTTCATCGAAGTGTCTCTGTAAGTTTAGAACCACGACCTGTGCCTACCCGCTCAGGCCACTCTACATTCAGGAGCGTCGCTAAAGGGGGGGGGGGGGTTGAAGTCGGTGGGATTTTTTTATGTCGGTCGGCCAGCAATTTTTTCCCCTTCGAACTGTGACTTTTTGTCGGACAAAGAAACATTTTTGAAAATTAGGAGAATTATGTAGAGTCGGTACAATGAATCGTCTTCTTTTTCTAATAATTTAATGAAACGTTGAAGCTCCTGCACTTCGCGCGAGAGAGGGAGAAACTGAATTCAGACAATTAGGGTTAAGATTAGAGAACGGTATACAACAAATCGTCTTCTTTCTATATTAACTTAATGAAACGTCTAAGCTTCCGCGCTGCGCGTGGGATGGGGAAACTGAATTCAGACAAGGATTAAGAGTCGAGAACGGTACAACAAATCGTCTTCTTTTGAAAATAATTTAATGAAACTTCTAAGTTACCGCGCTTGGCCTTTCACCCATCCCCTCCCCCACGCGCGCTCTTTAAGTGATTCGCTTGCCCTAAGGCGGTCCACTGGATGCTAATGTGATGGAAATTTAATGCCCAAAATCCCTAAGCTTCTGGGGGCTCTTTCGTCCTCTTTGTGCATGGCTGATTGTCAACGAAACGGAGTTAAGTCTTTTGTCAAGTCTGCTCGTTGCTATGGCAGGCAACCAGTAAAAACCAATTCGTTTCATCAAATTATGGAAATGCAAGCATTAATTTAAACAAACAGAACTTTGTTATTCCTGATTGAGGTGTCGTATGAAAGGGCAGAAAATAAACTTTCTAGAAATGTGATTTTCTCTTTGAAATTCAGATAACGCCCGCCAAATGACTTTTTGGTACCCTCTCTTCAATTTGTTTTTAATCACTCGTGCGTGAAATATGCATCATATGAGTTACATCAAATGAAAGAGGAGGATCTATGCTTTACAAATATATGTCATTTATTAATTATAATTGTGATTAATTCTCGGTTTCGTTTTTTCTGGGACGCACTGTATACAGTGGCGGATCCAGGGGGGGTTGGGGGGGGGGGGGTTGCAACCCCCCCCCCCCTTGGGCGGCCCCCCCCCCAAAAAAAAAAAAAAAAAAAGGAAAAAAAAAAAGAAAAAAAGAAAGAAAAAAAGAAAGAAAAAAGAACGCACGCTGGAGAGAAACCCTTTCAAGTGCAAATATTGTGAGAAGATATTCAACTCATCAGGTAACTTAACCAAACACATGATAACTCTGGATATAACTGTGTATTTAACTGTTACTTGATTTAAAAAGACGTTATCATGCACTGCTTTTTATGGTCTCCATTGTGTTAATAGATGCCAGGAAAACATCACTTACGGGGTTCAAATAAACACCCCAAAAAAAATCGGCTCGCCGCTTCGCGGCTCGTGGACGATGCTCCGCATCGTCATTATTTTGGTCAACCCCCCCCCCCTTAGCAAAAAGCTAGATCCGCCCCTGGTATAGTAGGCCTACTTGCGATATGGGCAATTGGTCATTTTCACGACAACATGAATATATTAAGATTTATTTCGTTAACTTAGTCAACATCGTAGCTACACCCGTACAAATTAGTGCTCACCACCACCTCCCCCTGATTAAGTTATGATAAAACATCGATAATTCTCAGGGTTTTTTTTCTGGGACGCAGAAGACTTTGACATTATCGAACATTACTTCCTTACCTGGTATCAAAGGCAACTTGAAAGTAACAGTATTATACATAAATTAGTTTTGAAAACTACACTGTAAAAAAGAATTTGTTCATTGGTAATTTTTACGTATTTTTTCCATGTAGAATTTACTTGAAAACATTAGTTTTGCCACTTACGCACTAAATTTAAGTCTTGCTAACTCAAACTTTCAATTTAGTAGACTATACGTGGAATATTTAAGTAAAATCAAATACATAAGAACTTTAAGTAATTTCAGCTTGTATAAATTTAGTAATTTTAACTCAAAATCAGAAATTATACGTATTACTCAAACAATTTATGTTGATTATTCTTATCTTTTTAAAGTAAGGACCGATGCAGTGCGTAATAGAAATATTTACATAATTTATGAATATTCATTAAGACCAAATTAAACTCTTTTTTAAATAAAACAATTCTTTTTTGTGGTTGAATGAAAATTTAAGGACTTTAAAACATTTACTAATTCATTTAACATGGCTAAGCAAAGACAAGACAATTTTTAATTGTTACCCAGTTCAAAACAAATCAAAACTTGATATTTCAGGAAATTGTCAACCAATTTTCTTTTTAAGATGCTACGATTAAGTTTATATAAAATGTGGAGCCTTTCAATATGTGTCGAATTGAAGTGTATGTAATAGTTTGTGATGGTGGTAGATATATATATATATATATACGGTTAAATCTTATAATTATAGAAGTAGTAGTGTTAGTGATTAGTGATTAATCTTAAATAGAAGTAGTGAATGATTAGTGGATGTTACTTGCTAGATTAGATGGGTACCAAATCGTGCAATATGTAATCCTATCATAGCTTTTTTTTAATTATCCAAAATGATTACAATACTTAAATTATTTACGTTAATGTAACTCGATTTAACTGAGTAAAAATTTATTCAGCAAAATAAGTAAATTCTACTTAAGATGCCGTAGGTAATATTTACTTAATAAAAATAAGGCAATTCTTTTCCTCAATTTTATTGAGTTATTTCGACTATTATTTTTTTACAGTGTAGCATTAATGGCAAACTAGCTAGGAAATGGAGTTAATATTTCTAAGGCTCAATGGAGGGGGTGCTAGGCTAGATGGAGAGGGTGCTAGGCTGGATGTAGTTAGTGCAAGTTTAAATGTAATCATGCTAGGGGATAGATGGAGCTAATATCTCTAAGGCTCAATGGAGGGGGTGCTAGGCTAGATCGAGAGGGTGCTAGGCTGGATGTAGTTAGTGCAAGTTTAAATGAAATCATGCTAGGGGATAGATGGAGCTAATATCTCTAAGTCTCAATGGAAGGGGTGCTATAGGCTAGATCGAGAGGGTGCTAGGCTGGATGTAGTTAGTGCAAGTTTAAATGAAATCATGCTAGGAGATAGATGGGGCTAATATCTCTAAGGCTCAATGGAGGGGGTGCTAGGCAATTTTAAATAAAATCATGCTAGGAGATATTATGGAGTTAATAATTAATGAGCGAGAACACTAACTGAAGTTCTTAAAAATGAAACATACTAGGTATGGGGCTTGTGTGATCATCACACCATTGTTTAGAACAAGATTGTTTGGAACCAGCAACCTTGATAACTTGGCCAGTATGACGTAACATTTCGGTACTTTATAATAAAGATTATATCTGATATATTGGTAAAGAGTAAAGATTGTGAAAACTTTATGTAAAAATTAGTAACATTACAAAATATGCAAGTAGTCAGGAAATCCCTTACACGATCTAGGAATAAAGATTGTGATAATGCTCTCGCGCTCTAACTCGCCCCTCCCCCCCCCCCTCTCTCTCTCTCTCTCATTTAGTGTTTCACGTCTAGTGACATTCCTAAACATAAGCCTGGTATATAACCAAAACTTGATATTATAGAAGTAGGAGCAGATGTGCCAAAATAACCAAACATCATAATTCGACATAATCGGTATCAGAAGCTCCGATAGAGATGAAATGAGACGGAGCCTAATTTGCGTCAACTACACTATATGA